AGGCACTATTTGAAATAATCTACTACTTATTTAGATCATCCAAACACCTTTTTAAACTACAAAAAAATAGAGCAATAAAAATTATATATATATAGACGTAGATACAGAACAAACAAAGAACTTTCCTGTAAAAACCACTTCGTTCCCCCTCCACACAAAATATAGAAGTAGAAAAGAAAAACAAAAGGATTAGAAATTTTGTTTGATTTGCTAGCAATTCTCAGCATTTTTCTGAGCAGCCTAACATGACTTTTTTTCTTTTTGCATGGAAAAGGAAGGATTGGATTCTGGAATACTGTGGGGGAGCTACATACTATGATTTGCTCATTAAGACTTTGCAAAAAGTAACAGTATTTTTAACACCATAACAGAATAACAAAGTGATAATACCTCAACACCTTCCAGTGTACAGTGGAGTGCATCCTGGAGCAGAAAGACAAGATAGAGAGAGAGAGAGAGAGAGAGAGAGAGAGAGAGAAACAACAACTGTTACCTTCTGTTTCAACTTTTTCACAGCACATAATAAAGCTGTTATATATGTAAAGAAATCATAGACATGTTGATATTTGATCCAATTTGCTGCCGCAGATCAAGACTTGGAGTGGAGAGAGAGTGTGAATTTGTGTGTACAAAGGAGAATTCTATTAGATGATTGGGTGTTGTTAACCGTGCCAACGTAGCGGCGTTTTGGAAACCAATATTTTGAAAAATAATTCACTTTCCTCTTATAAAAAAAAGTTTTAAAAAAAAAAATTAAAAATAATTTTTAACCATGTTTTCAAAATATTCTTATGATAAAAAGTTAATTTTTTGACTTTTTAACTTTTTTTTAGTCTCACCATCTCTTTATTTTTTTAACACAAAAAAATTATAAAAAGTTAATTTTTTACCAACTTTTCAAAACACCACTTAGGAGTAGTTTGAGATGTTTTAAATAAGTACATTTTTTTGTTTTTCTAATAAAAAAAAATATGTAAGAAAATGGAGAAAATGATTAGAAAAATTAAGAGAATATGTTGATAGATGTTAATTGATGTGACCAAAATAAATATATATAAATAAAAAAAAGACTTTTTTAATTTCCCCCAAACACCTACTTAGTTGGATTAGGAAGTAATGCTTTTTGTTTTTGTCTCCTTTCATTGATATATTCATCTATTGTCTATGTTGTTTCATTAATAAAGTCCCTTCCTTTTGTTGATTAAGACAAAATTTGGCAAGTTAAAAAAAAGTCAAAAAATTAAAAAAATATTCAAAAACGAATTTATATAATTTTTTAATACACATTTTTCCATAAAAAGTCAAAAAGTTAATCCAAACATCTATATTTTTTTCCTTAATTTTTTAGTCTAAAAAGACAAAAAATGCACTTATTTATAACACCTCAAACAATCCCTAAATAAAAAAAAAAATATTACATACACTTCATTAGGGTGTTTATGGTTTGATTTGATTTGATTTGATATTAAATTCAGAACCAATCCAATTATTATCGGTTTCAAATTTTTAGATTGAATCAAACCAATCATATATTAAAACCAACCCAACCCAATGTAGTTTGGGTTGATTCGAAGTATATTAAAAATAAGTGAATTAATTAATAATAAATAATTAAAATAAACAAATCTTTAACATTTGAACACTACACAAACAAAGAGCAAAATATTATTTAATGTAAACTAATACAAATTAAATTACATTCAAGCTTAAACATAACTAATACAAATTAAATCAACAGTGAAATTCAACTCAAGCTTCTAGCAATTCCTTCATTCACTTAATAATTCTTTTATGTAGAAAATTATTACGTGCAATCAAGTCTATTGTGATAAACCAATTGCGTAAAGATATGTGAATATATGTAAAATTTTAAAAAATATATATATAAATAGGTTCAGTTCTCGAGTTGAATCAATATAAGAAAGGCTTAAATGAAGAATCAATCCAATTCCATTGATTTGATGATTTGAAAACTCAGAATTAAACAAATGCACTCAAGACCCAACCCAACCCAACCTAAATAGGTCAGTTCGGTTCAATTAGTGGTATTTTGGAAAATTGGTAAAAGTGGACTTTTTGAATTTTTGATTTTTTTGGTGATTTTTTTGGCAAAAAATTGGGTTCTTTTGGGTAAAAAATTTGATTTTTTTGGCTAAAAAAATTAAAAAGTCAAAAAACTAACTTTTTTAGCCTCTTCCCAAAGTGCCCCTTATTCGATTCGCTGGATAATTTGAACACCCCTACACCCCATATCATATGTACTCTTAATTACGTTATTTTCTTTTTTAGTTATAACATTATTTTGAAATATTTAATTATGATTTTTTATATTTGGTTATGATTTTTTTTAATTAGACTTAGAGAGTACAAAATTATATTATTTTTTTCTATAATTGTAAAGTATATAATACACAAAAATATATATAATAGTAGTCTTTCCCGTGTACAAAAACACACACGACCTAATTTTACAGTTTTTGTGAGACTGCTCAAACTTCTTATTATTATTATTTGTTTAGATGGTTGGACAAGGACTACTCAAACCTTAAACACACTCTTGCATCGGCTGAATTAATAAAGTGTTCTAACAAATGTTTTTTTTAATTAACTAATGGATTGTTCTGGGAAGTAATTTAAAAGTTAATTTTTTATGATTTTTTTTAAAATAATATGTAATAAATAAAGAAGTAATTGATCAAAAAAAAATTTTTTTTAATATAAAAAAAAACCTACTTTTAATTCCTTTGCCATAAGAGACATGTTTTGCTCAAACTTTATAAATGAATTTACGTAAAGCGAAAGTGTTTTAAAATTGAGATTATTATGATGATGACGAGGGGAGTGTACCGGGGATCCTCAGCCGCTTGCCCCTGTCAAATATCTAACCTGCCTTTACAATTCCGTATAATAATAATTATTATTATAGCCACGGGCTAATTTTACACTCCTATCAATGTGAATATTCACATTATCAACGAGCCGGGCTGGGCCTATTTTTTTGGCCTGTGGGCCGGCCCTGCCCGACTCGAATTTTTTCGGGCACCCACGAGGATTGACATGGGCCGGGCCCCTATACATTGACGATATGAACATTCACATTGACAGTGTGAACATTCACATTAGGGGTATTTTGGTAATTATGTCAGCCATAGGACTTATTGAAATATAAGAAAATAATGTGAACTAAATAGAACATAAGTAGATGAAAAGGGTATTTTAGTCTTCTTATTTCAAATTGGACCTAATGGAATAGTCAAAAAGAATATGGGTTGGATGGAATAAAACTTTTAGAAAATGGATTTATCAAAAAAGTTTCATTCTAAATAATTACATTAATCTCTGTTTAATAAGATTAAAGTGATTAAAATTAACACAAATTACATGAAGACATAAAGAAAAATAAAAATATATATATTTCAATATAAAAAATATAATAATATTTTTTTTTTATATGACTCATGAATTGTTAATAAAAATAAAATTACGTGTTATATGAATTAGGGGTTGTTTGTGATGACCGCACTTTTTATCTTTTTACGAAAAGATGTGCAGAAAAGTAGAGAGGTGATGTAATGAAAAAAAGACAAAAAGATAGATTATTTTTTGATTGCCAAACTTGGCCTTAAAATCTTAAATGAGTTTAATATAATTATGCCAAGTCCGTAAAATTTGTTATATTTTCTTAAAATTTCAAGAGAAATCAATATAATTTATAAAATGATTATTTCAGTAGAGTGTTGATTCACGCGTTTGGTTTTGCTAGAATAATGATAGAAAATATATCATAAATAAAATTCTTATTAATCTATCAATCATTATAAGTGAAGGGTCATCAAGTAAAAAAGTTAAGGGTGTGTTTGGTTTGTGTTTTGAGATAAATTTTTTTTAAAAAAAATTGGGAAGAGAGTTTATAAATTTTTTTAGTTTGTTTGGTTGTATATTTTGAAAATAATTTTAGAGTTTGAAAGCTTGGGATGACTTGATATTTCATTGTAACTGAGTAAATGTATGTGAGAGAAAAAATGATTGAGAATGAGAGAGAAGAGAGAAAAAGTGATTGATTAATGTGTAGGGGAGAAAAAATAATTTTGAATTTTTTTTAAACAAAATCGAACCAAACAAAATTTTTAAAATTATGCTAAAAAATTTTGTTTGGTTTGTTTTTCAGAAAAAAATTTAGAAAAATTTCTCTACAAACAAATTTTTAAGAGTAATCAAACCAAACAAATTTTTTTAAAAAAATCTCAAAATTTTGTTTGGTTACCTAATTTTCAAAATCACTTTCTCTCTTATACACATCAAATCAATCACTTTTTTTAATACTTTTTTCCCAAAATAATTTTTCAAAATCATTTCTGAAAAAAGACAAATCAAACAAATTTTCGTAATTTTTATCTCAAAAATTACTCTACAAACACAAACCAAACACACCCATATATCTTTTGATACAAACCAAGCCCGCCCTAAAAAATGAAGAAAGTGATGCTGTATTAGATAGAGTCTTGACCTTGGGCCTATTGAATGTCGTTTTGGGAACCAAAATAAAAAGTCATGTTTTTGTTAAAATGTTCAAAAATGTAAGTGGCAAAAACGCAACAAAATTGGTTTGGGAAGTGCCAAAAACACAAGTGTGAAATTATAAATTGGGGCCTATGACAAAAAAATAAAAAAATAAAATTCTTATGTTGGGTAAGGGTATTTTGGTCATTTTAATTTGATTTGACACTATAAACAAATATTAAACTAAAAAGTCAAAAATCAACTTTTTACCAACTTTCTAAATCACTTTTTAAAAAGTTAAAAAATTTGATAAAAAAATAAAAATTAACTTTTTACCAACTTCTCAAAACACCCCTAAAATAATCGGAGCCGAGAAACGTTCGAATAATGAAGAGGAAGTGCTTCGAACTAGAGATCCATTAACTTAGGGAGTGGGCTTTTGTTGGTAAAGAAAATGGGCTTTTTATCAATCAAGACCCAGGTAAATTGCGCTTGAGACGGTGCCGTATTGTTGTCTTCTTGGCCAGGCTTCGCCTCTCTCTCTCTCTCTCTATACAGTCAGTTCTGTCACAGAGAGGAACGAAGAAGAATAAGAACAATGGAAGCTGCGAATACAGAGAAGGCAATAGCGCATGAAATTGGAGGAATCCAAAATGATACATTTCGTTTTGGACTCCACAGTGTCAAGAGCGACATCGTTGGATCTCACCCCCTTCAATCTGCTTATCAATCTGTATTTTCTCTCTCTGTCTCTCTATGTATATATATATGTAGATATGAATAGATAGTTTTATATTTGTGTGATTTATCTGTATCTATTTGTATGGTGATCAGACGAAGGAGGTGCAGGAACAGATGAAAAGGAGAATTCTTTTGAACACGTACGGGTCGGCACTTCCGTTGAAGATGGACCTCGATCGCCAAATGCTTTCGAGGTATATGAACCTATTTACTTCAATTTTTATACACTCGTTATGATTCTTTTTGATTTATTGAAAAATAGGTGGGTGGATTTTAGCTGCAAATTAGGGCTTTCTCTTTTAGGCCAAACAGAAGGATTAATAATCCATGAATTAGTGTAGGATTAGTTATCCAATTAAATTAGTGAGATACCATTTATTATGTATTTATGTATTTTTTTTTCTCTCTCTTTTCTTTCATACTTGAAATTATGATGCCAACCACACTCAATATTAAAAATTCGTTAATTTTGTCAAATTGAATGTATGCCGTTCATGTAATCTGATTAATAAAATTTGCAATCAAACGTAGTAACAATCCCAATCATATGCTACAATACTACTAATCAACACGCTCTTAGGGTTTTCATTTCTGTGAGGTTGAAAAGAAGAAGAAAATTGAAACAACATGATGTTTAGTTTACTAGGCAACCAAAAATCAGATTGAGTTTGAGCTTGAAAGAATACGTTAAATCCTAATCACGATTGTTAGGTTTTGGACAAGCACGGATAAAGAAGTTAGTCTAAGACTATAGGTTTAGGGTAGCCACATGGAATGTAGGAATTTTAATTGGTAAGATTATGGAATTGGTAGATGTCATGATTATGAGGAGAGTTAGTATAGCTTGCGTACAAGAAACTAAGTGGATGGGTGAGAAAGCTAGGGAAATAAAGGATACCGGTATTGAACTATATTATAGTGACAAGAATAGACACATGAATGGGTTAGGAATAATAGTTGCCAAGGGTCTTGTAAAAGATGTAGTTGCTGTCATTAGGTAAGGTGATAGGAATATGTTAGTTAAACTAGTTATTGGAGAGAATATAATGAACATTATTAGTGCATACGTCCCTCAAGTAGGATTAGATGATCAGACTAAGTGAAATTTTTTGGACCAAATGGATGATGTATTATATAGGAGATACCAATAGGAGAGAATCTAGTTATAGGAGGTGATTTCAATAGCTATGTAGGAATAGATAAACTAGGCTATGTAGGAATAGATAAACTAGGATATGAAATGATACATGGTGGGTATGATTTTGGTGATAGAAACGAGACTGGAGAGAATATTTTAGATTTTGCATTGGCTTTTGACTTGGTGGTGGCCAATTCTATGTATAAGAAGAGAGAGGAACATTTGATAACATTTAAGAGTGGGTCAATTAGAAGCCAAATAAATTACTTTTTAGTAAGAAAAGTGGATTGTCTGAAATGTAGCGACCGTAAGGTAATTCCTAGAGAGAGCCTGATGTCTCAACATAGAATTTTGGTACTAGGTTTATGCCTTAAAGGACAATACTAAGTTAGGAAGGATAGTGGGCGTTGTAGGACGAAATGGTGGGATCTAAAAAGGAATAAATTAGAAATATTTAAAAATAAAATGAATAAAGAAGATACTTGAGATTTGGAAGATGATGCTAGCACTATGTGGAACTCAATCACCAATTGTATGAGGAGAATCTCAAGAGAAGTTCTTAAAGAGTCGAAAGGAAAGGGACTCAACTCTAGAGAAACTTTGTGATGGAGAGAGGAGGTTCAAGCGCTAGTAGAGACGAAAAAAAAATGCTTTAAAAAGTGACAGAATGATAGAACTGAGGAAAACCTTAAGAGTTAGAGATTGGCTAATAAGAAGATCTGAAAAGTAGTGAGAGAGAAGGCCTATGATAACTTATACACCAGACTAGATAGTAAGGAAGGTGAGAAGATGATATACAAACTTGTTAGGATAAGAGAAAATAAAACAAGAGACTCTAAGGTGTTGGTGAAGGATGAAAAGATTAAGGAGAGGTGAAAGAATTATTTTGAGAAGTTATTAAATGAGGAACATGGAGGTAGATCAAAAGGAGATGAAGTAGGCAGTAATAAGAAGAATCAGGACTACAAATTCTATCGTAGGATTAAGAACTTTAAAGTGGAGATTGCACGTAAAAAGATGAAATCAAATAAAGTTTTATGGCCGGATGATATTCCTATTGAAGCTTGGAAATGTTTGGGTAAGAAGGGAGTGGCTTGGTTAACTAGGTTATTTAGTAAGATTTTGTTGACTAGGAAAATGCCAAAGTGGAGAAAGAGTATCTTAGTTCCAATCTATAAGCGAGATATAACAGAGGTGTCAGAGAATCAATTTGGGTTTATGCTTGGTAATTCAACAATGGAAACGATCTATCTTTTGAGGAGAGTAATAGAAAAGTATGGAGAAAAGAAAATAAACATCCATATAGTTTTTAATAGCGTATCTCGAGATATAATCTGGTGCGTGATATAGAAGAAAATGGTAACAAAATGTTACATTGATGTGATTAGGGATATGCATGAAGGTGTGATGACTACTATTAGATCGCCAATTAGAGAGACAAGTGAATTTTCAATTACTGTAGGGTTACATTAAGGATCAACCTTAAGTCCTTATCTTTTGGCTTTAGTTATGGATAAGTTGACGAGCAATATTTAGGATGATGTGTCATGGTGTATGCTTTTTGTAGATGATATCTTGTTAGTGGATGAGACTAGAGAAAGAATTAATACTAAGTTGGAGACTTAGAGATATTCAGGATGATGTGCCATGGTGTATGCTTTTTGCAGATGATATTGTGTTAGTGGATGAGACTAGAGAAGGAGTTAATACTAAGTTGGAGACTTGGAGAGAAACACTTGAATCTAAAGGATTTAAGATAAGTAGAATTAAGACAGAATACATGGAGTGTAATTTTAGTAACAGTAATAATGGAAGTAGAGGAGAAGTGAAGACTGAGGACTAAGCACTACCTAAGAGTGAACATTTTTGTTATTTAGAATTAATTATCACAACAGCTTAAGAGATTGGAACGAATGTGGTCCATAGAATTAAGGCGGGATAGTTTAAGTGGAGGAATGTGTCTGGGGTACTGTACGATAAACGAGTACCCACTACACTAAAAGGGAAGTTCTATAGAACAGTTATTAGACTAACGATGTTATGTGGAACGGAATGTTAGGCAACTAAGAAACAACATGTTGATAAGATGAGTATTGCTGAGATGAGGATGTTTAGGTGAATGTGTGGCAAGACTAGAAAAGACAGAATTAGGAATGAGTATATTCGAGAACGGGTAGGAGTAATACCTATAGAAGATAAGTTGAGAAAGAATAGATTGAGATGGTTTGGTCATATACAACGAAGACCAATAGAGGCAGTAGTGAAAATATGCGATACAGTGACGGTAGATGGAAGTGTTAGGGAAAGGGTCTGACTTAGATTAACCTGGACTAGAGTACTAAATAGAGATATAAATCTCCTTAATTTGACTAACGATATGGCCTTGAATAGAGTCGAATGGAGAAGAAGGATTCATGTAGCCGACCCCATTTGATGGGCCTTAAGGTTTGGTTTGGTTTTCAAATATGCGGAAAACTATTTTAAATAGTTTCTTGAAAACAGCCATTTGCAGGAGAATTTTTGCAAACTTATTTATGAAAGATGCTGTCTGAAACATGTTTTTCACATTGCTTTCATATATTTTTCCTTTTTTTGAGGAAATTGTTTTGGAATTGTAACAATGTTGTACATGTTATAATAATTGTTGCATGTAATGTGGGAACTATTTATCTTGCTTATTTGTGTGGGAGTTGGGACCAAAAAAACTGTACTAATTTTTCTTTTTCTTTTTTCCTCCAAAACTTTGCAGATTCCAAAGGCCTCCAGGTCCAATACCATCTTCCATGCTAGGTTTGGAGGCACTGACTGGAAGTTTGGATGGCTTTGGTTTTGAAGATTACCTCAGTGGTAATGAAATATTTAAAAAAAATCAACTAAATATTATTTTTAGTTTTGTGTTGCATGTAAATTTTAGACTTGACTTTGTTTGAAGTACCATAGTGGTCTGAAACTTCTCCTTACCTCTTTATCTTTGTTTGAGCCTATCTTTGGAATTATCTGCATCCCTCAGCTATGCTTAGTTAACTAAATGTTTTAAGTTGATTCATTCCTCGTGTTAATATATTTTTACCAAGATGGTTGCATGAAATCATGTTTTTGACAACTGATTTTTTGGGTTGGGTGTTATGCGTCCTACCAAAAAAAGGGTTTGGTTGTATGAGTCAGTATCTCATCTTTTCCTTCCAACTTGATGGCGACAAAAATAAGGATTCAGGTTTTGACAACATAAGTAATCACTTCGATCTGTTCTTTTATTTAGTGTAATATTTAATAAAAGCTATGAGAATAACTCTTCAGTTATCATTGCCACAGTGATAAACAGGTTAAATTTTAATTTACTTGTCCAAATTTACTACCTATTCCTGAATGCGGTTAGCCAGATATGGCTGACAATAAGTTATGAATTTTGAACTATTTGGTACCATTGGTTCAATGGCTAAGACTTGGCCTAATAACCTTAAGGTTATGGATTCAAGTCTTGTGGCTACCACTTTGTGTATTATGCCAAAGGTTAGGCGTGTACTCAATCTTACCCCTCCTAAACACACATTAATGTGTACTAATTAGGCGTTATTTTTTTGGTTTCCTTCGAACCCAGATGTTGTGGGGAAAAAATAGCCGAGATTTTTTGGTTTCTTTTCTCAAACTTAATTTGACACAAACTTGACATACGAATTGGCCAAATTAGACTATCTAAATTGTGCTCGATTTGATTTGGTTCCCGTGCTGGGTAGTTAGTGTATTGTAGTGTCTTGCTGATGAGCAAATGATTGAATTAGATCTGATTCTGGCCAGTGTTGATTTGTTTTGGTTTCTTACATGTAATTTCATTCTTCTTGCAGACCCACACGAGTCTGAAACATTTCGTCCCATGGACATGCATCATGGAATGGAAGTTCGACTTGGACTCTCCAAGGGACAAGCCTGCCCCAGTTTTATCTGAAGCATTGTGCCATGCTGGCGGGAGAAATTTAAGTTCTTCTTTGTGTTGCTGTTTCATGGATACTTATGTTTCTCTCTACAAATATGCAGTGATTGGTTAAGTTTTAATTCAAATATATATTAGACTGTTAACCTGATGGCGGGGCATTTTTCCTTTCAAAAATGGTATGTTGGTAATGAGTTTAAAATAAGGGTATAAGCATATATAACTAGTAGCTCTGAAATATTTTAGATTTCTTATATGTGGAAGTTTATAGAAGCATATTTTTGTTGTTCAACCTTTGTGGAGGTTCCCCACTTTTGGATGCCAATAAGGGGAACTTTTGCCAAAACTTCCAAGTTCATTTTGCTGAATTATTGATGTTGCAACTCCATTTCTACTTATGTGTTAAAGAAAAAGAAGGAACAAAGGTGGTTGCTTTTACAACTAGTTCTGATAAGTTGTTGTCTGTTGGAGAATATCATCTTTTGCAAAAAGAATAACTTCTTTGGTGGTGTTTGTTTGGGCTTTTTTGAGCCAATTTATGGCTTGTGGCTTTTGAAAAGTTATTTTGGACTGTTTGGTTAAACTTATTTCAAACAGTTTTTTATTCTAACAACTTATTTTAAGTCAAAAAAGCTGATTCTGAAAAGCTGCTCACCCCTTGCTTCTGATTATCAGCTTCTGCTATGGACATGTTAATTTACGGTTATACTCTTAAATTTTTTTATTTTTTATTTTTTTAAAAATAGAAAAAGACTCAAATGGACTATAGAATATTATTATTATTTTTTTTATGAGAAATATAAACAAATAGTGAATAATAAAAAATAAAAATTAATTGAAAAAGTTACTTCACAGCTTATTTAACAAACACTAGTTAGCAACTTAAATCTATAATTCAACAGTTACACCAAACACAGATTAACAGCTTCTGATTAAAGTCATAATCTATAATCTGTTAAGCTATAATCTATAATCTATTTTAACAGCTACACCAAACGGGGCCTTTGGAAGCTAGGGATTAGCAGCTGCATAACCGAATAGCCTTTCTATACTCGAATATGGCACAAAAAAAACTGAAGGAGCCTGTGTGTGCTCAATTCTGTTTATTGCATCTCCTAATGGAGTGTACTGTTTACCTTCCACTAAGAATTATATCAGGTTGTCCTTCAATTCAATAATGGAATTGGAGGGTCTAATTGATGGGCTGTGGCTCACTTCAGCCTCATCTCACTAAGTAAATTATATACATAATATATATATATATATATCTGTTGATAGTCTTTCAAGTAAATTATTGAGAAAATTACTATTCAAGAGTTTTGAAAAGGGAAAAAGAATATAATTAAGAGTTCTAACTATGGACACTTTTTTTTTTACTGTATATTTTATCATTTGCACTAAAAATTCTTGGATAATTTTTATTTTTTTAATTATATATCTAATGATTATAAAATAATAATATAAATTTATAATTATTTTAAATTAAAAAAGGCAAAATGAAATCTGTCTAAAAAACTCAGAGTGGAATAAGTTTATTCTCCCCTTACTTTCCTCAATCAAAACCAAACGTTGAAAGTACTTTTTCTTTACTTTCCTTTCCTTTCTATTCTTCCAAACACAGCGTAATTTTCCTTGCACCCAAACAACCCCCCTCCACCTCCTCTATGGACGAGACGCTGCTCTACACCAAGCTCTGAAAACCCTAAAATACCATCACCCTAAACCCCCCTCCCATGGACTCCCGCCGTGTTCCCCGCACTGTCATCGACCCCAAAGTCCGCCAGGTAGGGTTCTTCGCCCCCGGAGGCCCACCTACCCGGTCCCACTCCACCCCACCTGACCCATCCTCATCTTCCCCTCCGGTCTCCGACCTCTCTCCCTCCGGTAACACTCTCTCTCCGGTCATGATCCCCCCTCCTCGCCACCTCTCCGACCTCTCCCGTCAGGTTCCTTGTGCCATGCTGGCGGGAGTCCCCTCCGTCGTCCCTCCGCCGGCGAGTCTATACCCGCCGGCAGCTACAACCCCTCCGAATTCGCCTCCCTTACGGCGCCGTTTGGAGAAATCTCAGAGGACTCACCGTCACCGAGATTTCCTCACAGAAGCAATTCTGGAAAATTCGCTTCCTCGCTCCCTAGTGGCGGCATCGATTTCGCAGCTGCCAAGGCCAATAATTTTCCGGCGAGTTGTTTGACGACGGTGTCGGTGGTCAACATGCCTCCCGGTATATCTGGTACTCAAGAGCTTCTCTCAATCATTTTATATTTATGAATTTGCGAGCTTACTGATTTTTTGAAAAATATTAGCATTGGATTGATTGCAAAATAATTTCTATATAGAAATTGACTAGTGTTGAAGAGGAGAGAGAGAGAGAGTGACAATTTTTTGATGAAAATGAAGGAGAAGGATTCATTGAATCAGTTGAATGGCTAAAGTTAGATATTTGATTGTAGTTTTGAATTTGAGTTTTTGCTCTTGCTCTCCGCCTTTGGATTTTCAATATCTTACTCTTGTTTATGCAATGGAAGAAGCTAAAAGATTGAGTGTTGAATGTGCCATCTCTGAAACAGAACAAAAGTTGTGTCTGCTATTTGTTAAAGATATGAAATGGGCATTTGCAAATGCTTTACGTCGTTTGAGTAGTTCTTTGTAAAATAAAAGAAAATGTGGCGGAAAACAACATTTCTAACATCTAAGGATTATGTTGTGTATATTGTGCTTCAGACCCACCACTAAACTGGACAGAGCACGAGCATTCTTAAATTTAGTCTCGGCTTACTGCTTTAACTAAAGTGGACCCATTACCATTTGACACTCTTGATTTTGATCTTTTTGGGTGAATGCAGCGTTCCCTGATAAAAAGGATTCAAAAGCTTCATTTGCAGAAAAAGATGGTGGGCCATCAGTTGAAATGCAAAACGAACGATCTGTGAATTCAAAGTCACTAAAAGAAAAAACCTCCAAGGCTGAAAGACGTGCCCTTCAAGAGGCTCAACGAGCTGCTAAAGCTGCTGCAAAAGGTGCCTTTTTATTTTTTATTTTTTTTCTAATAAATTATTAATATATGTCAATGCCTTTGTAGTGCTTTCGTGATTGAATGTGGAATTGTGGCCTTCAATTGAATATATAGATTTCATAATGATGGCAACAAAAAAAATTTGTTGGTAATATCTGTATCTTGGCCAGTGAGATAGGAATTCTGCTTTTTAAGTAGCATTCCTAACTTTTCATGGTCATGCCACTGTTTCCTTTCAATCTTTTTTTGTTTTGTTGTCTAAATTGGTCTGCACGTCACTATGTAGTTTGTGGGAATCATTTTGTTATTATATATAGAAGAACAAGCCAGGTTCAGGGGAAAGCATTCGAGAACCGATGTATGCATTTTGATTTTGAGCATGTCATATTTATTCCCTTTGATAAGATGATCATTTGTTGAGCTTCTTGTCAATTTAAGAAATTATCAGTTATCATTGTCAAACATCTTATCAATTTAAGAGATTTTTCATTTGAGTTTGTTATGAAGTTTTCAATTCTTTCTTGGTTTGGTAAATGTCTAGAGTATTTAAAGTATTTTTCCTTACTTTGGGGAAAGTTTGGACACACTAAGTGAAGATAGAAATAGAGAAATCTTGTTTAAAAAAAGTTTGTTTCTTGATTGATTTTCATTAGAAGTTCCTGTCTTAGTTGTGGGACACAACTGTTATTTGAAGTTTTTGGTCCCAAAGGGGGAGGACTTTGATGGAAATTCCCTGAGAATGGAGAAACTTAACTCATGAGAATGGCCATCTAGTTTCTTAACTTTCTTTCTTTCTTTCTTTTTTTTTTTTTTTTGGAAGGTACTAAATGGATTTTTAGACCTGCCTAAATTCAGACACACTTTATGTTTCTTTTGGCACTAATGGCAATACAATTGTTGTTATCAATCATTTTCATTGGATATAGCATGTATATTATCATTGAATGGATTATGATAACCCTTTCTTTATGCATGCTTTTCAAAAATATGTTTATCTAGCTGAAGGAAGTAAGGCACCTGTGGCTGCTTCTGCGGTACTGAATGCAGGGAATGTAAAGCCAGCTAAATCTGCAAAGGCTCCTCCTCCACAAAAGAATAACAGTTCTCCAGTTGTAGCTCCTGAGAAAAAAGGAGGTGATCGTGCACCAGACAAAGACAGGAAGAAAGATGTCCCCCATCCACGCTTGCAATTTGATGATAAGAGTCGTGTGGAAAAGGCCAAAAAGCGGGCAGTCGTTAAACAAACTGAAGCTAGGAACAGAGTTGAACTGTTTAGGCATTTGCCTCAATATGAGCATGGAACACGGCTACCTGATCTTGAATCAAAGTTCTTTCAACTTGATCCAGTCCATCCCTCCATTTACAAGGTATTTTTTAGCGATAGTCATTTTCATCATCAAATACATTCACTCAAGTATTATGATAATTCAGAAGCCAGTAAATACTTCAAGCAGCTATCAATCTTCAAACATTTTAACTCAGTTAACTCAGCTATGTTTTGCTCAAATTGTACGTTGTTGCCTTCCAAACTCTGTTCAATTATTTCATTCCATCTTGAAACTAATCGGGGACTGAAGGCTCTTCCCAAAAAATGTATGTAGCTTAGATCTAGCCATAATCTGTAAATGAAATTTTTTTATATTTTATGTGCATCATTCTAACAATAGTTATTTGTATGTGTTATCAGGTTGGATTAAGGTATTTAGCTGGGCAAATATCTGGTGGCAATGCTCGTTGTATTGCAATGCTTCAAGCATTCCAGGAGTCAATTAAAGACTATTCAACGCCACCCGAAAAGGCTCTTGTTAGAGACTTAACTGCAAAAGTTAACTGTTATGTTTCATTTCTTATTGAATGCAGACCCCTTTCAATCAGCATGGGGAATGCAATTAGGTTTCTTAAGACTAGAATTGCCCAATTACCTTTGACTCTCTCTGAATCAGAAGCAAAAGGAATGCTTCTATCAGATATTGATCATTTTATAAATGAGAAGATAATTCTAGCAGATAAGGTGATAGTCAGGCATGCTGTAACAAAAATCAGGGATGGGGATGTTCTTCTCACATATGGGTCATCCTCTGCTGTGGAAATGATTCTATTATATGCCCATGAGCTTGGTAAACAGTTCCGTGTTGTGGTGGTTGATTCGCGTCCAAAGCTTGAAGGGCGACTATTACTTCATAGGTTGATGGGAAAGGGTCTGAGCTGTACATACACTCATATAAATGCTGTTTCTTATATCATGCACGAAGTCACTCGAGTTCTTTTGGGGGCTTCCTCGGTATTGTCTAATGGAACAGTTTACTCGAGGGTTGGGACTGCATGTGTTGCCATGGTTGCTCATGAATACCATGTTCCAGTCTTAGTATGTTGTGAAGCGTATAAATTTCATGAGTCCGTGCAACTTGATTCAATTTGCGCTAATGAACTTGGTATGCTTTCTGTTAGTAATTGAGAATAAACAGTAAATGTGTTCTTCATCACTTAACAGTTAAGTTTTTATCTGTCTTGCAGGTGATCCGGATGCCATTTCAACGGTTTTTGGTAGAAAGGAAATTAACCATTTGGATGATTGGGCTACTAATGAAAATCTTCAGCTTCTGAATCTGATGTAAGCTGTATAGTATGATTAATCCATAATTATTAGTTTACCCCAATTGACAATGTAGCCTCATAGTTTCCCTTTTCATCGTGACAGTTATGATGCAACTCCTTCAGATTATGTCTCGATGATTATCACAGATTATGGCATGGTAAGTCTGATTCTGGTTTTAGAAGTAGTGTGGTGCTTCATATTCTAGGTGTATTGAGCTATATATATATATAATTTTAGATTTCACCAACAAAAATGCATGAATGAGTGGGTGTTTATATCCTAGCATGCGATTTGCAAAAGAATCAAATGACATGGCTTGTAACACCTACTTGGAAGCTTGAGACTGTAGATTCTGTGGATGTTAGTCAATTCAATACCTGTTTCTTGTTAATCTATTTATTTACTCGCTGGTCAATTCAATAAGTTTTTATTGTTTTTGTGGTTCGACCAGGTCCCACCAACAAGTGTTCCCGTCATTGTTCGAGAATATCGGAAGGAACACTTGTGGATATAGAGGTTTCATTCATGAATCATGGAGGATTCTTAAATTTTTTCCATGCTTGGACGAATATCGCATTGGTACTCTGGCAGATGGGAACTGAACAATGGGATCTTCTAGAATAATGCTTATATGGCCCAGTCAATTCTCTATTATTTTGGATTCTTATTTTTCACCCGACTCAGTGAAGAGTGCAATTTACACGCCTCTCCGAGCAGTTTTAGGATTGCATTTTTGATGTTGTGGTTGGCCTCTTTTTCTTCACCTATGTCACAATGACAATTTCTTGAGCAAATTTGACAATTTTCTTTGTTTCAAGGTTTCTGATTTTAGACAGTAGATACTTTTTGACATTATTAGCTATCTTTCTTTTCCTTTTTTTTTATTTGAAAAAAATCCATTAAGGAAAGCCAAACGACACTTACTAGAGTCCATCTAACTCAAAACTTATACCAAACAAAGAAAAAATATAGCAAGTAGCACAAAGGAAAGAACTTATAAAAATATTCAGACGCACATTTCGTGCTCGTACTGCGAAACAGAACCGATCATAAGAGTTCAACAATAAAGTATGTCTGGAATAATTTCTAGCCCCCCACCAAAAAACAGAAAAACAAACCCACAAACAAACCATAAAATAAAGCAACAAAACAGCAAGGCAAGCCAGGAGAGCAAAGGCAAAAACAAACCTACAAAATCAAAACTTCAGCAACAGCAAAGCAAATCCGGCGGGGAAGGAGGTGGTAAAGCAGGGGAAGGGAGGCGGCGTCCAGCAGGCCAAGATAAGGCAGCAGATAAGACGATGAAGGGCGACAAATCTAGCAATGATGGCCGACTTCAGATGGAGTCGGGACAGGGGAGGGCGGATTTTAGGTTGCAGCACCATATTTTAGCTGAAAAATGCATGGCTCATTTCATAGAGTGAATTTTAGGTTGTGTTTGGATTTTGCATTTGCGAAGAGAAATCAAGATCTAAACCTTATGCAATGGCCTGTTGGAAAATATTGTGTGCATGCACAGATAAAAGTTTGTAACCATATCCAAAGTGTAATAAAAATAAAAATAAAAAAGAAGAATTTGCTCAGCTTCACAATAAAACAGAACCTAAGTTTCTTCTTCTGTGAGAATGGAAGAACTAAAACAAGCACTTGGTGGAAGACTGGACAGATATAGGAAGCTACTTGCTCTCTCAACGCAATTCAAAAAACCAAAAACAGAACATAATAATGTTTGAAATGCCAAAACAAAAAGCAAAAACAAAACATATTGACGTCTGAAATGCCAAAACAAAGTGTATGCTCATCACACGAGCTCACTGAGAAGAATCCTGAAGTCAAACCAGTCATAGAAGTCAAATGGCCAAAATGATATAAGAATCAAGTTTTCATTAATTTCCTATACTCATTTGGAAATCAAACAGCCAATTGAGGAAAATTTATTGAGTTTTAGAGTTTTACTTCAGTCATCCAATTCTTCACATGTATGTAAAAAAAAACTGCAATTCCTAACAAAGGATAAGCCTCTCTCCTAGTCATACCGGATTTCAAACAGATATTACTCATCCTATTCTATTGATCCCCTGAGAATTTCATCTTTCCCATTCACAGGAGAAATAACTGCCAGAACAACAAACCCACCTAGAACAACAATCAAGACTCCCAAACAGTTCACTAACAAAGCCTCTGTAGAATAGCGCGTTATAACCTGGTTTGTTTGAAGGAATGTGGCTTTTTCTAGGATACCAGTAGTGCAAGTAACGATAGCGAGGGCATAAATATAAACCCCGAAATATACATGCCATGGCAACAGGGTAGCTCTGCTGTTTCTTGAACCACCCGGGTACCAAAAGGTTGCAAATCCAACAGTCCACTGTTCACAAGGAATCATTGCAAAACTTGAAATTAAATTGTATGATTTTAAGCTTCTCATCATTCCCAACAAAATATAGGGCTGTTAAGAAAAAGACCTGGATACCAAATAGTATAAGGCAAGTGAGGCCCAGCCATGAATGCAGACTGTAGAAATTGTCAATGCCCTTATCGATGTGAAATTTCAAAGCAGCCCATACACCAATTATGCTCAAACAGAAAGCCACGAATTGCACTGAGAGATGAACTAATTTTTTGAAGCTCTTTGTTCCTGAAACAGTCTTGTAGGCAATCATAGCTGCATAAATTCACATCAAGAAATTATAAGAAGGTTTTTTATAATACAGAAGATGACTTAGAACCAAATGAAGGGATAAATACCAGAAAACTTGTCAGTGTAGGACAACCCATTTATATTTATTTCTCTTTCTTTTCTTTTTTTTCCGTTCATAAATCCATTTATATTTATTTCTGAGTGTGCATAAAAAGTTTTCAGTTATCAGTTGAACATTTCCTAAGCCTAAGGTGTACAGTGACAGTAAACGATGCAACAAATCAAGTGTGGTATTCTAAGAGGGGGAAAAAAAAGAAGAAAAAGAATATTGTCATTGACTAAAAAGTTGCATCAATCTAAGTGCATAAGGGCTACTGTGGCCACCGGAGAAATCGTGCATCTAAACATTCATAGTTACCAGTGGAGACTGTTATATCCATAACCCTCCAATTCCGCAATGTGTGGGTCCTACAGTGTCACAAAGGGTGCTACAGATCCAACAAAAATAAGTGTGGATTTAACTATTACCTAAGTTGTCTGCCATCACATCACATCCATTTCCTTTCATTGCAACAAAATTTTCCAATTATTTCCACCAAGAAACAATGGTAAAAGTTAGTGTTCTAGTCCCTCCCTATCTGATAGCCATAACAAATAACACCTCATGCAAGGCTGCCTAACTCGACATCCCAAATAACAATCTTGAAGGAAGTTCATATATACAATGAAACAAAATTACTGTTGATAAACTTAGGATATGATTACAAAGAAAACAATAATTAATTTTAATATCAAGCAAGCATGACCACTTATACAACTAAATACAAATATCTAACAACTCCACCATAACCTGAAATCTTTAAAAATAAATAAATAAATAATTTTTTTTAAAAAAAGGCATTTTTTTACTGTCACAATTATTGCATTAGAAACAATACCAGAACAGTATCCAAAAACCATAGATAGCAAGCACATGAATAAATCACTGCACTCTCCAAACTATGGTCAAGAACTTTCCCGGTGGTATATTGAGATAAATATAACTGAATCATGAGTAAAGAACCACTATTTACCTTCACCATTCAGAAGTACTAGACCAACCACCATTAATACAGGATGGACCTGTCAAAAATTACGAAATAGATTAAGAAAGATGCTTCACATCCACAGGGAGATATGCTAAATACTAAGACCAAAGAAGGTTCACAACAGCTTGTGTTAACCAGCTTTGCAACACAGACCAGCACAAATGTGAATGCAGACAATGAAAATGCAAAAGAGAAGAGCAAATATCCCCTGCCTGTAGCAGAAAGGTACACATTTCAACTACAACATTGACTTCACCTCCACCACCCAGAAAATGAAGAAACTACGGACCTGGTAAATTTCACCAAGTTGCTAAACTCAAAATTCTTAATAAAAACATAATTTTAGCGCATGAAGTAATATATGAAGTAATAGGCCAAAAGGGTTCTTCACTGGCCCACAGAAAATGAAACCTTGTGTAATAACCTATCGCTGTGATTAATTCATTGTACATAATGACCGCCATCAAAGCAACCGAGCAAAATTTTGAAGTGGTAACGTGGCACAAACTTGTGAGATCCTAAACTTGATCCATAGTCAAACTAATCCTAAAAGCCCAACACAAAAAGGTAAAATTTGCAAAATAAAATCCAATATAACACATGAAGGATCCAGTCGAATTCCACGGGACAATGAAACCATAACCACAGTGACAAAAATCAACAATTACCCACTTGAATACATAGTCGCGTTTAATAGAGGAATAAAATTGTCAAAAAGTGGGATTTAATAGATGAAAATGTGAAAAATGGAGAATTTAGGGTACAGTACAAGAGAGAATGGAGAAAAATACATTGAAGATGAGATCTTTGTTATCGGAGATGAGAGCTAATCCTCCTCTGTAATGCAGAGTCCAGGTAAGGACGAGAGCTGCCACTATGACTCCGATAATCCTCACCAGAAGAAAGATCGGGAGTTGAACCACAGGAACCGCCATCATCAACTCTATCTATACAAATACAAATACAAATACAAATACAAATACAAATACACGTATGTGTGTGTGAAGAGAGAGAGAGAGAGAGAGAGAATGAGGGTTTTTCAATGGCGATTCACGGTGTGATGTGAGACTCTGATCACTTTAGACAATTCATAATTAAGGAGTTCATTAAACTCGGATCTCCCCGGGTCAAATAGATGCGTTTCTGCCAAGTCAGACGCCCAAATCACGTGCTTTCTCAATCCACGTGTCTTTCCTCTGAACAGTTGGAAAAAGAGAAATTATCAAGTGATTTTAGAGTAATACTATCCGGGTATATTTGATTGACTGGATTAGAGTATGAAATAAAAATAATATTAATTTATGGATCCAATAATTTTGTGTTTATTTTGAAATTTTGTTTCAAAATTATTAATCTAATAGATAATTAATCTAATAAATTTGTAGGATTATTAATAATGAGGTAGGGGTGAGATTATATACCCTAAGTTGGAAAATAAAATAAAAATATTTTTTTATCTTCATATATTTTCTTATCCATTACAAATCAAACAATGGATAATGGATAATTTATCTTACTAATCTAATTAGATAGTGAATATTACACTGATTTGATAAAATTATTAATACTTTCACTATTAATCTTGTGAATCAAACATGACCCTTATGTACTATTTATACGGCTCATTGTGTAACAAGTGCTATATGAGAAATGACCTGGTGTGCAATTCACAGAATGTAATCTTAATATAAAATTATATAAGTTTTTATAAATTTTCATAAATGATCTTATAAAAATATATAAATTAAACACAAATTTGAACAAATTCATGAAAATTTACAATATTTTGTGAATTTATACAAATTTTTATTCAACTTATACATTTTTATAAAATCACTTATGTAAATTTATGAAAGCTTAAATAATTTTGTGATAGAATTGTATATGGTGTATATTAGGCATCAATTTTTTTTTTTCCTATTTTCAATATCACTTAAAATAAAATTCTACTCTTTCAATCAACGAAAGTTAAATTACTGTAGAACTACCATATAACTTTGCAAATCGATTGGCGCTTGATTGGCCCTGTTTGGTAGGGTTTATTTTTATCTTATTTTAATTTTTAGCTTAATTTAAACTATTTTGATGTGTTTGGTTCAGTTTAACAATACAACTTATAGCTTTTTATAAGTCAAAAATCAACTTATTCTTTGAGTGGGGTAGGAGAAACTTAATTTATAAGTAAAAAATTAACTTATGTTCATAATTATAAGTTATAAGTTGTTAGGGTATAAGTTATAATCACTTTCCCACAACTATACCAAACGGTGCCATTGTAAGGATAAGAATATGATGAGATTATGGTGTGATAGTGTCTCTAATGTTTTTTTTTTTTTTTCCCCCATAAATTTGTGTAAACATTTTGGTTAAAAAATCCATCTGATATTAAGGCTTCGTTTGGCATGTAAGTGTTTTAGTTTAAAAGCCAAAAATTTACTAAAATAATTAAAAAATCTATAACTTATATCAAAAAATCAAAGATTCTTTTTTCTTTCTACTTTTTGCACATATTTTCGTAAAAAATCAAAAAGTCATTCCAAACATACTAATTTTTTTTACTTCATATTTTAGCAAAAAGTTACTAAAATAGTTTATTTCCAAACGAAGCCTAAGCGTTCAAACATTAAATTTTCAATTTTATCAAACAACTAGTCGATTAGGAGGAAGTTCAGGCAGTCATCCAGCCTAATGTAAATTATCTTCAAATTTTTTCCAATCCAGTCATCCACCCAATTGTTCGGCTGGTCGTCCACCTGGTAGACCAGCCGATTCATCCGATCATCAACCAACGGTCACCAGCAAGATTTTATGAAACATTAAATAGTCTTTTGATTTGATAAAAAAGTAAAACTTTTTTTCATTTGATACTAATTTTATGAAATGGTTAAAAACATTATTTTCACCAAATTTTTATTAAATTTAAATTCGATAAAAGATTTAAATATGAATTAAAGATGGTCTAAGTGATTCAACTTAGTTGGAGAGGGAAAGTTTAGCATAATCAACATTTCGTTTTATTGATTAAAAAATCAAAACAAATTGCATGTTATGGTTTAATTTTAGAAATATTTACCTATAAATCTCATCTTGAGGAATGGTAATTCAACATTTTGTTTTATTGATTAAAAAATAAAATAAGTTGCATGTTATGGTTTAATTTTAGAAATATTTACCTATAAATCTCATCTTGAGGAATGGTAATTCAACCCCAGCATTACTAATATATATATATATATATTTAGAATGACTTGAGATATGAAATTCTTCAAATATTTCACAAGGATGTGGGATTTTTCAAATATTTCAAAAGGAGTACAAAAACTCCTTACTAAGCTTTGAGCAAATGTATAATTTCAATCTGTAACACTCCAATACAACACTCAAACGTAACACTTCTAAAAAAGCTCCTTATTATACTTTTTCCAAACATAATACTTTAAAAAAAGTCATTTGTGTAACACTTCAATATAACACACAAAAGAATTTCTTAGTGTATTTTTTCTAAACGTAATATTTTAATGTAACACTCAAAAAAATGATGTGAGATTTTTCAAACCATTCAAAAAGGAGTACAAAAATTTCTTAGTAAATTTTGGATAAATGTATAATTTTAAACTGTGAGTACTACGTTTTAAAAAATTACATTATGCACTTTTTTAGTGTTTTTATGTGTGTTACATTGGAGTATAACATTTGAGATTGCATTGATTGGACGTTATATTTGAAAAAAGTACACTAAAGGGGTTTTTTGTGTGTTACATCGAAGTGTTACGTTTGGAAAAAATTCGGAGGGTTACATTGTTACGTATAAGAAAAGTACATTAAGGAGTTTTTTAATATATTACATTGAAGTGTTACGTTATTAGAATGTTATTTAAAGTGTTACGTTCTTATTGGTAATGTGAGATTTGTTATAGAAGGCGGGAAAATTCAAAACTTCTATACTGTGGATTGTCCAAATGTGTAATTTTACATTTGGAGAAACCTACTATCATTCCTCAAAAATTAAACCCAAAACGTGTAAGTGACTACCTTTTTATATAATTTATTCTTTAATGAGACTTTTAGGTTCATAAGAAAAAAATGATAACTAAATAGTTCATAAGACCACATTTTAGAATTTATTGGTATTTCACCCTTAATTTTATTGGTTTAGTGTAAAGGAATAATTGATATAATTTTTTTTTAAATTAGAATATTTTCACATAAAAAAGAAAAATAAATAAATTTTATTTTATAAAGATTTTCTCAATAACTTTTACTATATGTAACGTGTATTATTGATAAAATTTATATAATACACAAAATTTTAAAACTAAAATAGACCACACATTATGAAAAATATGTTGAAAATTAAAATTTCAACTGATTGAAAATGGTTCGAATTATTAGGTTTTTGTTTGTTTGTTTGTTTGTTAAGGCAATGCCCCTGAAGACAAAATTATATAAAAGTTGTGTATTATCAAAATAAGTCACTCAAAGATATATGAAGAATAATTATACATAAAAAATTATTGTTATTATTTTTAATTAAACATAATAATAAAAAATTCGTTTATATATAACATTTCAACTTGGGCAGACTACCTACACACTCTTTGAGATTTAGCTAAATTACAGATTTTTTTTTGAGTATTCAAAAATTACATTTTACCTCTCGAGATTTATATTTGCATAACAATTTACCCCCTCCCGCTAAGTAAACATTAGGAATTGTTATTGAAGGGACGATATTACTCCTGATACCTTTCCACAACATCGAATAACTTGATTTAATCTGAAATCCTTTTGGTAAACCAACAAAATTTACAAAAGAATTATGTTAAATGAAAAAAGAAATTAAGGTTCTGTTTGATTTAATTTTTGAATTATGATTTGAATTTTGAAGAGAGAAAAATTGTTTGGTTCTGAGTTTTGAGTTGTATTTTATAATTTTTTGAGTTTATATTTTTTAATATTAAAAATTTTTCTTAATTTTATGGTAAATATTGTCACGACCCAACTCCAAGGGCTTAGGGTTGGAATCACAACTTACTAACTTATTCTTATTCGTAGCAAATTAAGCTGCGCAAGCGGAAATAAAAATAAGTAAACAGAAATTTTACGTCATGTTACTATTTAAGAAAGAGAAAATACATTTCTAAGGCTTTCATTATTTTATTATTAAGTGATCACCCTCGAATAGAAACAAAATGGAGCAAAAATATAAAAAAAAATAAAGATAAAATAGTAATTCAACATCAGTCTATGTGCAGGTTCCATTTTGTGGGGTTATGGATTTTCCTTACATCTCGTCACCTGAAAGGGTAACAGTTATAAGCACACAGCAGAGTGAGAAATATTATGTCAAGAGTGTAGGGAATACAAGATAACCATGAATAACTGGTTAGGCTAAAATATTTGCATAATTTAATTTAAATGACAATTTATTTAACGCAGCAAAATACAAAAATCATGTAAATAAATAATTACAACCACGATATGAAACAGAACATAGCAGAGGTCGCAGAAGTGACAGTCAGAACAGGGGTCAATGGATTCAAGTCAAACAGAGAACCACAAAGTGGTCAAACAGAAGCCAGTGGTTATTTAAGTCCCCCAAGGCATGGGACTCCCGTGGTGATATTTACAAAACATAATTGTTTATAAGGTTATAGTAAAATATATTTTAAAATTTAAACAAACATATCTATGGGTTTTTTTTTTAAGTAAATAGAGTTTATAAAGTAACCCACGTGACTAAAATATTTATAAAACATAACTTTTATTTGTACAACTTAAATATAGCTTGTATAAAATAAGTTATGATAACTCAAAACATTCGTAAAACATATAATGGTAAATCAAAGTATAACATAACTCACCTTAATTATAACTCTTAGCCTTACTTTACTATCAGAACTTCCCTACTATAAGTTTCTTCCTCTCGATTTTTCACTCTTCCTTTCTTTTATTTTCTGTCGTTTGTTTTTTTTTTATTCCTTCTCTTATTTACAACACATTTGCCCCTATTTATACAACAACCCGAGCCTTGATGTGAGTGCCACGTATCCTCTCTATATGGGGCCATCATTAAGCTACAAGATTTGAGCTTTAATTGTAGATCAAATTCACAGATTTAGATAAGTTTAAATCTCCTCAATATATATATATATATATATATATATATATATACTTGGGCCTTTGTTTTGCTTGGGCCAATATTTGCAAGGGTCCAACACTAGCTTAGACTTTTATTATTTATTTTTGTTTTTCTTTTCTTTTGGGCCGAAGTTCACAACCTTGCTGGGCAACTAGTTTATAACATTTTTTTTTTCATTTTCTTTTCTTTTTTTTTTTCATTTATTTATTTGTTTTGGTGTTAAGTTATTATTTATTTACTATCTTTAGTTTGACCCAATTAATATTACAATTCCACAAGTGTGTTAATTGCTCCCAAATACTAATTCCCAAATAATTTTTTTTACTTAATTCTATATTTGATAACCTAATGTCAAATTAGATTTATATTTTTATTTATTTAATAGTCTATCATCACATGCAACCATAATTATATATAACTCTAAATATTTATGTGGTACCTAATTAAACATTCGGGGTGTCACACAATAAATGTTACATTCTCATCTGCAATAATATTTTTTTAATAAAATTCTTATGTTGTAAGTTATTTGTGATTTATGCACATACTCAGGAAAATCAAAACAAGTAAAGCAAGGACCATCACATGCCTCACTTGGTGTCACATATGATACAACAATCTTCCAACCACCAAATGGGCCCCCTTATGTAAGACCAACAGATGCCAACATACATGGTCAATCTTACCCACCATGGACCATGCATACTCAGGAATTGAATATTTATATTGATTCACAAAGTTAAAATATCTACTATTTATACTTAAAATTTTTTTCTTCAAAAATAAAATAAAAAATATTTTTTTTAAAAAATAATTAATAAAAAATAATTTAAAGAACAAAATAAAAAAAATTGAATTTGTTTTTTTTATTTAAATAGAGTTTTGTAAAGAGTTTTAAAAAAGTTTGGTTATGAGTTTTGAAATTTTTTGATTCAAATCATGATTTGAGTTTTAAACCAAACACTGCCTAAGTTTTTGGAACTATGTTTAATTTGTTGTTTAGAAAAAAAATTAGAATATTTTTTTTGAAAAAAAGAAACTAATTTAATAAAAATATATTTAGTTTGTAAAAATTATTTCTCATCTCTCTCGAAAAAAAAAAATATCAATCCCAAATGTCCACTAATGTATTTCGCATCCTTGAATCATGCTTTGAATTTTTGTGTATCGAAATTTTTATATAATTTAATAATTGAGATTATATTGAAATAGAGAGAAAAGAATTTCAAAGACGGAAAATCTTATGTTATACATCTCTTTAAGGGTGTGTACCATGTGTATCATATCATAAATTAACATTAATAAATTATAAAATTTTGTAATATCAATCACAAAATACGTAATTTTACTATAAATTGACATAATAAAAAATATTGTAATCAATAATAATAATTTTTTTATTTTTTATTTCTTAACTAAATTAATTTTTAACTTTTTAAAAACAAAATTCAAAAACGAATACTGAGCAACTATTGATTGATTTGACATAATATATCAGCCAAATATTATCATTTTTCTATATAACACAATTATGAGCATTTTAATCAATTTACTATCTCTGTTAATGACATTAAGCCATTGTTTGGGAAGTGGGTTTGGGACAAAAATAGTCACAAAAAACAAAATAGATTTTTAATCTAATAAGATAAAACATCACGTCTAATTCATAATTATTATATTATTTCTCTCATAAAAAAGTCAAAAAAATCAATCCGCTTCCCAAACCAAGCATAACTGCAACAAGATAGATGTAATTTTTAAAATCTTAAATTTTTCTTTTTATAATTTTAGTTAAGGTCAAATTTGGGAAGGCTAAATAAGTACACTTTTTGACTTTTTATGAAATATGGGTTGGATTTGGATTGGGTTTGAAGTGATATGCTAGAGAAGTAATGTGACTTAAATAAGATGATGTGACTTCAATAGGATAGTAATTTTTTAACATTTTAAATTTTTTTGAGGAGGCTAAACTTGACGTAAATCTAAGGGGCGCGTAGGTAATTTATCTTTTCAACTTTATAAAGCTTCAATCCAACCCGCCATAACTGAAAGGACACTTCGCGTTCCATTCGAAAGTAGGCATCGTTTCAAATACTCGAATTTCGGAAATTCGATTCACCTACGGCTACTCTCTCTCTCCCCCTCTATCCTATTCTTCCCTCTTAACTCCACCATTTAGGGTTTCTTATTGGCGACTGTTTTCTGTGAGTACTACTTCGATCTCGTTGTTCATCTGACTCTGGACTTGGGATCTGTTCTTTAACTTTATTTTTGTTTTTTATTTGAAGGGTCTATTTGGGAAACTTCCATGATGTTTACGCCGCAGAGAAAGGTCTGGTCTGGTTGGTCACTCACGCCCAGGACTGACCCGGTCCAGAAGAACGGTTATGTGTCTGGTTCGGACCCTGTTTTAAACCCTAGGAACGTCGAGACGGTCGTCAAGGGTAGAAAAACTGTCGCTTTTGTGGAGTCCACCACGCCGCCTCCACCGCTGGGTTCGTTGGGCGAAAATGGTGGGACGAAGGTAGCAATTGTTGAGAAACTTTCAAAGCTCGAAAACGAGGTGACTGGATAACCCATTTTTAGTCTTTTATCTGTATGGGTTTAGAACACTGAGGCCTACTTTGTTTGTGAAACTTGGCAATTGGGAAAAATTATTGGGGGCCCTCACATAGGCCATTACTTTTGACATTTCTATGTTGTACCCTACCTCAATTGCCACCCTAATATTTATAGACAAAACATCAATATAAATGTGATTGGTCCCACCATGTAAATCAATAGTGGTAAATGTCTACATGGTACCCAAAACTTGCTTAGTTCTCAGTTCTTGGATTATAACCAAGTGCAATTTGTACTTCTTAAATGAAATTTTTTTGCTACATCATGTTGATGAAAATATATCTTTCAATAACTCGAGATCTCCATGTTGATTACTTTTGAGAACAGAATGAGCTTAATTGGGAGGCAGATGGTAGAGTTGTTGTTGGAGCACTAGGAACGTGGATGGTTTTTGGGTTTGGGTGCCTTGAAACTTTGAGATCTAGTATCGAATGTTGATAACTTTGACGGAATTGTACTGTTAAATATTGGATGGAAGAGTGGTGAAAGAATATATAGTAACTTCCAATTCTATAACTCTATGAGGCGAGTTTTTAAAATTTTGGAGATTTAGAACCACCATTTAGTGTGTACAAGCTGGCCTGGACACCGGTTATTAAAAAAAAAAAAATTTCTTATTACACCGGGAGAGTTTTAGCAAATGGGGATATAAAAGATTTGGTTGACCATTACTTTCATTGTAGTAGAGTATGTTGAATTCTGATATAAATGCCCACTGCAAAGCCGATAAAATACGTCAAATATAGTGATTGAATGGTAAGGTTACATTTGTTGAATTTAATACAGCTTGGTGTTCTTATATGGCTAAATGCATTTTTGAGCAGCTTTTTGAATACCAGTACAATATGGGCCTTCTCCTGATTGAGAAAAAGGAATGGACTTCAAAGTATGAAGAGACTGTGCAAGCTCTAGCAGAAGCAAAGGATGCCCTTAAACGAGAACACGTTTCACATTTAATTGCAATGTCTGAGATCGAGCAGCAAGAAGAGAATTTGAGGAAGGCCTTGGGTGTTGAGAAGCAGTGTGTGCTTGATGTATGATTCCTTCTTATCTTAGTTTCTCAGTTTTTTGAATCTCTTTTACTTTCAATATGAGAAATTGCATGTTGTGATCTTTTTTTTTTAATAATATTTTTTTTTATTGATATCAATTGCAGATTGTAGGAATGTGATGCATGATTTAAAGGATGTAGATGTACATTGTTTAGTCTGCACTACATGCTTTCTTTAATTTGAATATAAATTTGTGATACAGACTTCATTTTTTAATTGGAAAAGCAATGTGTAGGATGAGTTTTTGGAAGCCTCTTAATGGATAGCAATATGTGCAAAAATCATATTGATATGGAATTGAGGCAATGCATTATGGAACAATATGATTTAAGCAATCTGTATCAGCTATTCTACAAATCTATCCTTCCAAAGATCAAAGCATACCTTTTTGCTCGTTCTAAATTTCTTTGTGATTTTAATGCCTGGTTATGGTTACTTATCCTGATTCGGAGCCGAAGTTGAATTAACTAACAAAGATGTCTGATGATTGAAAGAGTGATGTGATTGATATTGTATATTTGTTTCTTCAGTTCTATTTCTGTATCTGAGTAAGTGTAACAAAAAGTTACTGATTTGTTTTATCAGTCTCTTGTTTCAAACATTTAAGAGGCTTAGCAGTAGCTAGTTATTCTGTTTTATTGGTTGCAGGTAAGAATACACTTGGTTTGTTGGGTATCCTTGGAACAAATATAATTTTCTTGTGGTTTTGTTCTTCTGTTGTTATTGTGGTTGCTGCAGCTAGAGAAGACTTTGCGTGAGATGCGTTCAGAATATGCAGAAATCAAGTTTACATCTGATTTAAAGTTGGCTGAAGCAAATGGTCTCATTACCAGCATTGAAGAGAAATCTTTAGAGGTGGAAACAAAGTTTAATGCTTCTGATGCGAAGCTTGCTGAGGTGAGCAGAAAGAGTTCAGAGATCAAAAGAAAATCACATGAGGTGGCAATTCGAGAAGACGCACTTCGAAGGGAGTGCATATCATTCAATGCAGAGTATGCTTATGGCCCATGATCCCTTTTATCTTTATTGTCTTTATCTTGCAATCCCTTGAGTAAGAATATAAAAGGTTATTATGATAAATTATCAATTTTATTCCAACTGCTAAAAGTTTTTTTATTCAATTTTTCTCAGGCAAGAAGCGCGTGAGAGTACGTTATCAAAGCAAAGAGAAGACTTGCGAGAATGGGAAAGAAAATTACAAGATGGAGAAGAAAGGTTGGCTGAGGTTAGAAGATTGCTCAATCAAAGAGAGGAGAAGGCCAATGAGCATGACACACTTTTTAAGCAGAGACAGAATGACCTTGAAGAGGCACAGAAGAAGATTTTCATGGCTAAATCAACTTTGAAAAAGAAAGAAGATGATATAAGCAGGAGGGTGGCAGAGCTATCTGTTAAAGAGAAGGCAGTATTTTAATTTTATTTTTACCTTTGGTTTTTTTTGTTTATTTTATTATTTGGCTAAATGAAACTCTAGTTAAGTACATAATTGATGTTTTATGTCTATATATTTCTTCTTTTAAAGCAGGAAGCTGATGCTATGAGAAACAGTTTAGAGATGAAAGATAAAGAATTGCTTGCGTTAGAGGAAAAGCTTGATGCAAGGGCCAGATTACAGTAAGTCCTTACAACTAGTATAAATATATCCACTTTTTAATAGTACATTTAATTGGTCCCAGTGAAGATGGTGACAGGTATCAAAGAAAGCGAAAAAAAGATATACACCTGTCTTCTTTGTCTCCGCCCGATTCAGTTACTTCAATTCTCTTATGAGTTGCATCTATATTCACATATGTGTATGTATGTAATATATACATCTATAAATTGTGAATCCAGGCACCAGGTTGGAGTTTGTATTCTCCTTGTACAGGCCCTGGAGGGTACGATTCAGTGACTAGTGTTAGTTCAATTAATTTTTAAGAATGTATGCCTGTTCTAAGTAATTGATTCCACTCAGGATCGATTTTCTTCTATTTTCTGTATCACTTTTGTTTCTCTCTCTCTCTCAACTGGTGGAGCAAGGAGATGCAAGACCCAAAAGATGGACAAGCTACCAATAAAACTACACCTTGTGCCGAGAAAGAAAAAAAAAAGATTGTCTGTAGATTCGTATCTTTGGAAATCATGATTATGATGCTGACAGTTGTCCTCTACATGGGATTCCTGCAGGTTGAAATTCAGAAACTTCTTGATGAACACAAGACCATCCTGGATACAAAGAAACATGAGCTTGAGTTGGACATGGAACAACAGAGGAAAGCTTTTCATGAGGACTTGAAAAGCAAGGAAATTGAAGTGGAGAATAAGGAAGCTGTACTCAACCACATGGAAGAAAAGGTTGCAAAACATGAACAGGCATATGCAAAGAAAATGGAGAAATTTATAGAGAAAGAGAAGGATGTTGAAGCAAAATTAAAAGATCTGAAAGAAAGAGAGAAGTCCATTAAAGTTGACGAGAAAAAGCTGAAGAATGAAAGGAAACTAATTCTTCTTGATAAGGAGAAGTTGCTTAATCTCAATGATGAGCTTGAGAAGACGAGGGCTGAGATTGAAGAACAGCAATTGAAGATTAATCAAGAGATGGAATGTCTGGAAGTTACTAAAGAAGAGAGGACAGAATATGTCCGTCTACAATCAGAACTGAAACAGGAGATAGATAATTGTAGACAACAGAGGGAACAGCTGATGAAGGACAGTGAGGAGTTGAAGCAAGAAAGGGAGAAATTTGAGAAAGAGTGGGAAGAGCTGGATGGAAAAAGAGCTGAGAGTAAGAAGGAGCTAGAAGATGTCACTAAACAAAAGGAAAAGTTAGCAAAACTGGAAAGGTCTGAAGAGGAAAGGTTAGAGAATGAGAAGCTGGCAACACGGGATTACGTTCAGAGAGAGTTAGAAGCTCTTAACCTGGCTAAAGCTTCATTTGCAGCTAGCATGGAGTATGAGAATTCATTGATGGCTGAGAAAACTCAGAGTGAGACAGCCCGAATGCTTCACGATTTTGAGGTGCGGAAAAGAGAACTCGAGACTGAAATGCAGAACAGGCGGGAGGAGATGGAGAACCATCTGCATCAAAGGGAGAAGTTATTTGAGGAGGAAAGGGAGAAGGAACTAAACAATATTAATTACTTGAGGGAAGTAGCCCGAAGAGAAATGGAAGAAATGAAACTAGAAAGACCAAGGATAGAGAAAGAGGAAAAAGAAATAGCTGAAAACCAGAAGCAACTTGTTGGACAGCAGCATGAAATGCAGAAAGACATTGATGAACTTGTTAATCTTAGCAAGAAGTTGAAGGACCAGCGAGAACAATTTATGAAGGAAAGAGAACGTTTCAATGCATTTGTTGAGAAATTCAGAAGTTGCAATGCCTGTGGGAAGATTACTTGTGAGTTCATGGCTTCTGATCTTCAATCTTCACCTGAAATGGACAATGCAGAGGAACTTCCTTTGCCAAGACTAGCTGATGATTATCTGAAGGAGGCTGTTCGGGGTAATGTGGTCACTTTTGAGAGGCAAAATAGTGGGATATCCAGAGGCGTGATTCAGTCAGCGCTTCCGGCATCTGGGGGAAATATATCCTGGCTCTGGAAATGCACCTCGAAGTTATTCAATTTGTCTCCAGTTGAAAAGAATGAAATTGATGGTCCTCATAATCTGACTGAGAACCCTATGTTTGGAAAGCATATTAGTGTAGAAGAACCACAAATACGGTTATTGAGCACTGAAGATGGACCAGAATCCTTTGGGGTTGCTACCGATTCTTTCGATGTTCAGAGGATTCAATCTTACAACAGCATCGGAGAGGTGAGTTTTGGGCAGGATCAATCTGTCGATGATCAAAGTGACATGAATAGTAGGATACAAGAAATTCCAGAAGATTTGCAGAATTCTGATTTGAAAGGGGTTCACCAGAAACCTGGCAGGAGAGATAAGAGAGTTAATAGAACATGCTCTGTGAAGGTGGTTTTTTCAGAGGCCAAGTCTATACTTGGTGATGCCTTTGAACATAAGGGTAATGCCGAGGATTCTGCAAAAATGAATGAGGAAGGCCATGGAGAATCTAGTATCATGGACAGGCAAAAACCAAGAAATGCACGAAAGCGTGCTCACAGCTCTCTAAACACAGTGAGCGAGCAGGATGGCAATCACAGTGAAGGTCGTTCTGATAGTGTCAGTGCAAGTCGTCGCAAGAGGAGACAAAAAGCTGCTCAAGCTGTGCAAATTCCCAGTGAAGTACAACACAACCTTCGGAGACGCAAAACATAAAAGTCTCGGGAAAGTGGTGTATAGGGTAAAAGAAGCTGTTGAGCACCCAGAGATGATTGAGGGCCTGACTTGTCCACAGGACTGATGCTCTTACCTACCAGCACGATGGTTAGACTGAGTCATCGTGCTTCGTAAACCTGTTCAAGTAGCAATGGGATTAATGAATGTCAGTGATTTTTTTGGAGGTAAATAGTGCCTTTTATTTTGTTTAGTTATGGTATGCAATGCTTTCTACATTTAGAAGGGTGGAAGCTGTTCAAGAGAGCAGGCCTTCAAATTGAAATATCAGGTACAATAAATCAATGAACATTTGGTTGCACACTGACCAATTGCTGCACGTAAATTTGCTGGCTGAGCCACAATCTGTTGTTTTGTTTTGGTTTCCTTCGGATGTTTTTGGGAATTTCAAGTACCTACATTTTATGACTAAGTCTGCAGGCAGTGGCTAATGGAGCATTGTCTGACCACAACAAAGGTGTGGAAGGATGTGGGATGATGGCAGAATATTCTGTGTGGTGTTTTGAAAAGTTGGTAAAAAACTGACTTTTTGGCTTTTTTAATCTATTTTGTCTTTTTATGAGTAAAAAATATAAGAGGTGATATTATGACTCAAAATAGGTAAAAAGTTAAAAACTGACTTTTTACTGGGTTGCCGAAGCATATGCGTGAATTTTTATCAATAAAATTGTTAATACTTTTTCTTCATATCCATGGTTTGCTCTCTCTCCCTCTCTCCATATCCTTGATGTTATTGTATCAATTGGCATCATTATATATTTAAATATGAATAATATAATAATTTCATCAGCTCCACTGACATTGTGAAAGTTGTCGTTACTATAGGAGATGGCATTTTAATTTTATCAAAATTATGGAGCTACTATAATTTTTTCGTTACTTAAGGGAGGCCAGTGTAATTTATCCTAAAACTTCACTTTCAAAAGTTTGCCCAAAATCATCAATGTTTTCGTTTCCTGGAATAAGAATGAGAATGTAAAATCTACTCCAAAATTATCAAGAGCTTTGAAATAATGCCAAAACTGGGTGAATTACAAATTAATGTTAGGAAACAAGTAAAATACATATGCAATATAAAACAAAACAGCTGTTCCATAATAAGCTCATTCAGCAACTGTTATTTGAACATCCCCCTCCCCTTCATGGATTAAGCAGATCGGTTTTACCACTTGAGCAATAGACTCTGAAGAAGCTCTTTCAGCAACTGCTCTTGTTCATCACTGTGATAGGTGAACAACTTGTGAATAATTTTTTTTTAATTTTTTTTGGGATGCAAGGTAAGAACATCATATGAATAGGAATCTATGTAATTCTTTCCCTCCAAACATAATTAAGGAACTGTCAATTCACAGATCAAATATGTTTTACATTGCCATCCCCCCCTCCATAGTTATTTTTTCTCATTTCCTAATTTTTTTTTCTCATTTCCTAATTTTTGTCGAAGTCCTATAAATGGTATTATTGGAAGAATATGTGATTCAAATGGAAACATGACAGGCTTTTAGAGATAAGGTCCAAACACATTCAGGCAAATTTAATTTAAACATATAGATGTTATCAAGGTCCAAACACATTCGGGCAAATTTAATCTACAAGTACATGTTTTGAAACAATAAAAAGATCTATACATGCCATGTTCTTTCTTGCTGTTACATTGCATTTAAATTCATATCCAAATTCCTCGAGTAAAGAATTGGCAGGTACCAAGAGGTGTCAGGTGTGAATGATTTAACATGATATGGCTTGGTTACAGTTAAGGAGTACATTAAATGTTACATGGGAAGTGGGATTGGCATTTGAAAAATAACAAAGTAGCAAATCTCCAAATATCGTTCAACCATGTTTACCTATATCTTATTGAGAGTGCCTTCTTTGCTGTGGTGCAGATAGTTGAACACTGTTGCAGTGATCTACCAACCTTATGACGGGGGTTCAAGTCATGGAAATCAATCTCTTCACCCAAAAAAAAAACAAAAAAAGGAAAGAGTATGGATCAAGTTGCATTACCTACTACCTCTCACACGTTGCTCAAGCTTAAACCTTGTACTTGAGGATTATCATCCACTGCTTCAGCACAGCTTACCCATTTAAATCTCTGCTGAAATTAATACAAAAATAATAATAAATTGAGACTACCAATCTCTAGCAATATGATCAAATCACCAGCAAACAAAGTGTTAAAATGATGTATTATTGATTGATATCTGATTGATTAATTACAATTCCTATACAATCTATATATAGAAGAAAATGTGGTAATAGGTGTAGTGGAGGTGATAGTGGGTTAGGTGAAGTGGAGTGTGTGGTGAAGTGGAGGTAGGTGAAGTGGAGTGTGTAGTGGAGTAGGTGAAGGTAAAGATGAGAAATTCTAACAGCCCCCCGCAAACTCAAGGAGGAGAGAAACTAACCAACTTGAGTTTGGAGAGAGTAACAAAACAAGAAAATACATAAAAATAAAAAAAGGATAGGAGACACTGTATGGTCGTGTCAGACCATTGGTGAAGACACTGGATGGTGGTGTCATAACGTTGTAGAGGACACTGTATGGGGAAGCACTTGGAGACTATTCAAAGTAGAAAATATGAACTAGAAAACCCATGTGATATTCTTCAACCAGAGGAAGTGAGCAACAAGTGACCAAGGAAGCACTTGGAGACTATTCAAAGTAGAAAATATGAACTAGAAAACCCATGTGATATTCTTCAACCAGAGGAAGTGAGCAACAAGTGACCAAGGAAGCACTTGGAGACTATTCAAAGTAGAAAATATGAACTAGAAAACCCATGTGATATTCTTCAACCAGAGGAAGTGAGCAACAAGTGACCAAGGAAGCACTTGGAGACTATTCAAAGTAGAAAATATGAACTAGAAAACCCATGTGATATTCTTCAACCAGAGGAAGTGAGCAACAAGTGACCAAGGAAGCACTTGGAGACTATTCAAAGTAGAAAATATGAACTAGAAAACCCATGTGATATTCTTCAACCAGAGGAAGTGAGCAACAAGTGACCAAGGAAGCACTTGGAGACTATTCAAAGTAGAAAATATGAACTAGAAAACCCATGTGATATTCTTCAACCAGAGGAAGTGAGCAACAAGTGACCAAGGAAGCACTTGGAGACTATTCAAAGTAGAAAATATGAACTAGAAAACCCATGTGATATTCTTCAACCAGAGGAAGTGAGCAACAAGTGACCAAGGAAGCACTTGGAGACTATTCAAAGTAGAAAATATGAACTAGAAAACCCATGTGATATTCTTCAACCAGAGGAAGTGAGCAACAAGTGACCAAGGAAGCACTTGGAGACTATTCAAAGTAGAAAATATGAACTAGAAAACCCATGTGATATTCTTCAACCAGAGGAAGTGAGCAACAAGTGACCAAGGAAGCACTTGGAGACTATTCAAAGTAGAAAATATGAACTAGAAAACCCATGTGATATTCTTCAACCAGAGGAAGTGAGCAACAAGTGACCAAGGAAGCACTTGGAGACTATTCAAAGTAGAAAATATGAACTAGAAAACCCATGTGATATTCTTCAACCAGAGGAAGTGAGCAACAAGTGACCAAGGAAGCACTTGGAGACTATTCAAAGTAGAAAATATGAACTAGAAAACCCATGTGATATTCTTCAACCAGAGGAAGTGAGCAACAAGTGACCAAGGAAGCACTTGGAGACTATTCAAAGTAGAAAATATAAAATTGAAAATGTTGTTGATATGGTAAAACTCAACACGTGTAGAGCCAAGAGCAATGAGGCACAATCCAAGCACAACCTCCAGAAGGGCCCTAACTTTTAAGGTGTAATATAGAAAATTGCAAAAAAGTTGTAGTACCAGAATTAAAATTTAACAATTTTCATTTAAGAAATGCTTCAAAAACTTCTACACGTGGTGTGGAAATAACTGACCCCTTGTGGTATTAATTTTTTGTACTGCAAGACTGAAAGATCGAATCTTTGAACCAAAAGGAAAAGAAACTCAAACAATTAGCTACAAGATGCTGACAAAAAATTTGGAAAAATATAGGAAGCTGGATCTTTTTTTAAATACTTTAAAAGCTTTGACATGTGCCTCTAAAACGTTAACCCCTTGCCTCTGCAACTACTAGAAGGTCAAAGGATTGATATTTTGTTTGAACCCAAGAATAGACTCTGGGCAAGTGAGAAGCATTAAAATCTGACATCAGGGTTTTAACTTCTATAATCTTGTGATTAAGCTTTTTCTTTAAAAGTTGAAATGCATATTTAAATATTTCTCCATACCTGCGTAGATTTCTGCTGCTGAGTCTGTCCATTCTTTGACCCACAACTTACAACGGATGAACATTGACTTAATTTATGAATATGACAATCATCACCTTTTCTATGATAGCATCCATCACAAGCATCAAACCTTGGACAGATCTCACAGTGCCATCCCTGATTCACCACAATATCCTGATGGCAAATGCAGCAGCTGGTCCCAACACTTTGCTTGGTTGGATTATGGAGATAATAAAGGATCATCATTGAGGAATGCTTGACATGGCGAAGGGTATCAAACTGATAATGATTTCCTTGACAGAAGCTTAAGAAGGAGTGCCGATTCTCAAAGTAACCATTATCTATAATAACATCTGTATCCTCTGTATTAACAGGCACATCCTTCACTACAACCTGAAGAGAATAGGAGCATATATGTAAAAGCGGAATCTAACTGAACAAGACCATGTACCAAAAGTGCTTTATTAACTAGAGTATGCATGGAAATTTTTTTGTTTTCAGTTTGGATATAGAAAGCAACATAATCTTTGAGTTTATAGGAATCACCTGAGAGAGAGAATGTTTTTCCCCGCTACTTGAAGTGTGTGTATTCCCCTCATTGAGAGTTTGCTCCACATCATGGCATCTACAATATATATGAGAAGGTAAATAAGAATTAAACATTCTAAGACTTGCAATCAACAATAGGAAGTAGAAAATGTATCTCCAGCACAAAACTTCAGAAAAATGACATCTTCTTGCAACAGGTAAAGCGAACCCGGTAAGAAGATATCAATAAATGATCATGAATGATAAAACTATTATATTGCTACCATGAGGAAGAAATAGCAAAGAAAATTGACTTCAATCAAAGAATGGATCTTAAATAGGATTAGATCTATCTCAAATACCAAACTGGCACCACCAACAATAAGGATGAAACTTCAATCAATGAACAGAGCTCATTAAGGATTAGATCTATCTCAAATACCAAACTGGCACCATCAACTATAAGGATGACATGCCAATCTTCATATGCAAAAAATAGGAGAATTCCATACGTGCAAGTAAACGTGATTTCAATCACTTTGTATTCTTCTTCTTCCAGATTATAATAAAGCTAACTACAAAAATAAGTGGGATTCAAGAAATACATCATATTATTAGTACCATAGCCACCAAAAGGAGGCGAAGCAAAAACCAAATAAATCATGATTTGATACAAAATTTACCTTGCACATAGTTGAAAGTTTTTGCATTCGTTGCAAATCCATTGGCTTCCAGATAGTATCACTTCATGGCAGCACGTGCAAGTAAACTGTAAGTGGACCATAATAAAGTCCTCCTTCACAGGAGAGATGGTTTGCTCCAGCTATCAAAGAAAGAGAACAAGAGGATAACCAAGAATTAACAGATGGAGTCACCACATAGAAAGAAAAACGATGCGAATTTTCAGAATCTGTTTTCTAAAAAATTTCTGAAAAAACTAAAAACTAATTTGGTATAAAGAATGCTCATCATTTTCACATGGTTCTATCTTTTTTGGAGGCAAAAATAATTTTAAAAAAATATTTTTGGTGTTGATTTTGTCAAACTAATTTATATTTTTAAAAAATTCAAAAAACAGATTCTAAACATGAAACCAAACGGAGATTTCTGGCCACTGGTGAGTGAGATCAAACCTTCAAAGCCCAATAAAAGGATATTAAGAGCTATGCATCTCTGTTGATATGTGTACTCACGCATGAATAAAATTTTCCTTCATGTAATTTTCAAGGTTTCCATGGAAAATATTGGAAAAATGAGCTACATACTGTTGAATTTCTAAAACTTTTCACTCCTTGTTTTCTATACCTTATTATTGTCAAATGATGTGTTTATGTAGCATAAAATTGTTATTTGAGAACATGATTTGCATTATTCAGGTAAAAAATGAATATGATAAGAAATCTGTGTAACTTCCAGTGACATCTGCAAAGATTAATAGAGACTAGGATAGGAAAGATGAGCAGAAGTTACTTTTTTCATCAGTAGAATATCTTTGGTTGCATCATCAGAAAGACTGGTATGTCCCATAGCTTTTAAAGTTCTCTTTGTCAGAGCTTTTTTCACCTTGCTCTGTGAACCAACTTGACTCCTTTGTTCAATATTTTTTATCATATCTACAGCAGCACCTGACAAATAGTCACCATCAAAATATGGCAAACGAGCTGCTGTTATCTTCATGTTGTGTTCCCCAGTAGGAACAAAGAAATGATCATATAAATTAGTGCAATCCACCACTATATTCTCTTTTACTGCTTTTCTTAGCATTGATTTGTACCTGCACATGGAACATCTTCAAGTCAAGACATATGCATGCACAACAAAAACTGCAGACATGGAAATAAGAGCAGCAAACTGCAAAGATCAAAATCTGAAGCAGATCAATCAGTCTGACTTAGGTATGTCGAGGACTTGATACTATCTTCCCAAAAGGGGAATTAACAAGGATTAATACATGCAGAGTTGCATACATGTAAGCATGTGAAGGTATGGAAGGAGAGAAAGTGAAGGTATTGCACAAATCTTATTCACACAAATAACGCTTAAATGTAAACATGTGAATGTGTGGGGGAAAAAGAGGTACCACTGGCGGAGCTTATCGGACTTTGGTGTTTTCTGAGTCTCTGGATGGCAATAAAAAATATAATCTTCTCCTCTCACAGGTGGACATGCCCATATATAGCAGGTTGCAAAACCTCGTTTCTTGCAATAATCAAGGTATCCTATCTGATAATGACAACAAAGGAAAAGGCAAGGAGCCAATTTTGTTACTTTATTTTATTATAGAATCTTTAAATGCTCATTTGATGTTGAGATAACAGAGATTAAACAAATAAAACTAAACAAGGATAATTACCAATATTTGATGGTAAACAAAGGTACGAAGAGCTTCACCAGATGCAGTTTTTATCTCCGGTCTAAAGTACTTCACAGAATCAAGATACGAGATATATACACAACGTTGATTTGGGTGACTACATTCTGAACCATACTCCTGGACATACATTCCAAAGAGGCATACATCTACACCTTCAATTCTTTGAAACAGAAGTATCACCTAATTGAGAAAGGATATGTCAGAATTCCCGAAAATATAAAACAACTAAGAGTAGTAGTTAATAATAGATTTCATTGAAGACTTTGTAACACCAACAATCTACCCTGTGGTTATCAAAATGTGCTCACCTCATGTCTTTTCTCTTTTCAAATGATAAAAGCACTTTAATGAATTGTATGGCATTTATCATAGCATATTCATTAACCAAGACTGAGCAATGCAATACTGAAGTTGAATAAGGAAATGTGTTAACTATAAGTCAACCCAAAATCTAGAAGGAGGTGGTGGTGTTTCAGCAATTAAAAGGAGATTTTTGGTCTTTTCACAAGTCCCAGGTGAAATTCTTATAGTTGCCTCAACTAAGATCAAACAAAAGAAAATTGCTTAAGCACAAACCACTAGAATTTCTGTTACCTTCGATCTGTATGGGAACTCTGTTGGGTATTTCTCATTATGGAAGATATCTAAAAATTGCTGCTTCACTTTCAGTAGTTTTTTGACAGATAGCACCACTCTGACAGCAAGATTCGCTGCTCTAGGTACCTAGAAATAGGTTGAACATCTTATATCAAGCAATTGTAGTAGGATGCTGAAACATAAAACATTAGATATACTCTTGCTGAGGTAAAATTTAAAAAGAAAAAAAAATTAAAATGAAGAAAGAAAAAGAGCACAGAGAACTAAGTCAAAGCAGCATTGTTGACAAAATTAGCCTAAGAACATTGCGTTGCTTGGTTTCCCATTGAGAACAATTCTCTTTGGCATTTTGTAATCAAGAGTAAACACTCGGTCTCCGCGGAAATTTATTTCTTGTGATATCCATTACTTTGCTCAACATATTCGTTTCAATGGAATTCCTTTGTTTATAATATCTAGTTAATGGAAGGTCATGGTTAAGACTTGGCCTAATAACCTTAAGGTTATGGTTTCAAGTCTTGGGGCCACCACTTTGTGCATTATGCTAAAAGGTTAGGTGTGTACTCAATCTTTTCCCTCCCAAACACACATTAATGTGTACTAATTGGGCGTTGCTTTAGAATTAAAAAAAAGCGCTCAAGTTTTAGGGCCAGCAAAAATGGAGTGTCTACAATTCCTTTACCCTCTCAAAAGATGCCTTCAGATCTACTAAGTGTTCCTCATAGGAATTGGACTTCACAACCACATTATCAATGTATATCTTCATAAATCAGCCTATCATGTCATGAAATAAAGAATTCATGGCACGCTGGTAAGTAGCCCCAGCACTTTTAAGGCCGAAAGGCATTACGACCCATTCATATGTTCCTAATGCACCAGGACAATAGAAAGCTATTTTGGATGTATTCTTTTTTACTATGAAATTTTGTTTGTATCCTGAGTGACCATCTATAAAAGACAGAACCTTGTGCCTAGCTGTCCCATCCACTAACAAGTCTACTGCCAGCATAGGGTACTTATCCTTAGGGGTAGCCAAGTTCAAGTTCCTAAAGTCTATACAAATTTAAATCTTCCTATCTTCTTGACTATAGGCACTGTGTTTGACAATCATTTTACATATTTAACAGTTTTGATAAACCTAACTTTGAGTAAACAATCCAACTCATCCTTAACTAATAGAGCTACCTCATTAGGCATCCTTCTAGGCGGCTGTTTATACAGCAAGAGCCCTTCTTTGATTGGTAGACAGTGCTCCACTAGTTCTCCAAACAATTCAAGCATTTTTCTATAATCCCAAGAAAAACATTCCTTGAATTCACACAAGAGTTGAATAAGTCTGGTTCTGTATGGTTCAGGAAATAGTTGGCTTACATAGACTATCCTGGGTTTCTTCACCATTCCCATATTAATTTCTTCTAGAGGGTCTTGAACTTCTATCTTTAGATCATCTAACTTAGCCGGAACTACTTCTAATTCCTCAAACTAGGTAAAATCTTTGTCGGGAATGTCCTCTTCAAAAATTACTTCAGAAGAATTTGTCGTAGCTTCTTCTTCATCTATATGAAACCATTCATAGGGCGGCCATATGAATTTCCAAAGTTGTCCTACAATTGTATTTGTTCAAGCCCACTGTTGGATAGCATGTGCTTCCCATGTTTGCCATGCATGCAAAATATCAAATTGATCAAAGGATAAGTTCTATTACGTGGCTAAAGATATCGTACATTCGAAATTTTTACTATGCATGAAGAGGTATCAAAGCTAATAGTGAGCATGACCAACATGCTATCTTCAGTGTGGTACCACAATTTAACTGTTCTAGACCAGTTATAATTTGATCATTCCTTAACAGTTCATGCTTCTATCCCTTTTTTTCCCTGGTCTTCATAAATCAATCAACAAAACTTTTACAATACATTCACTACGAAGTGGATAAAATATCATATTTTGAAATAAAGTAACTTGTGATAAGGACTACCTAGATGTATGCACGCATGTATTCACGTGTCAAAAATGATTAAAAAAATAATAATAGATGGAAAAAAAAAAAAAAGGGTCTATAAACAGTATTTGCATCATACCTCATCAAGTTTCTTTTGTAAAGCCTTTGCCCTCTCTTCACTGTCTTGCATGAGACATCTAAAGAGCCTTTGCTCAATGTAATCACTGAGTGTAGTAGTTGGCAAATCTTTTGCTCCAAAAGCAACAGTCTTTGGTAAGGGCACATGCTCTCCAACTTCTATTCCTTCCAAGTAACATTTTGGACAAACATATTCTGATTTCCCCCCCAAATTACTTTTATCATTGTAAAGAGCACATATCTGGTGTTGCCAGCCTCTGCATTTATCACATTGAACCCACTGCAAGAACAAAATGTCCGAATGGATTGAGTATTTAACATTTTTGTTGGTCAAAGAGATTTAAGTATTTAACCATTTGCTGAAATTGATATCTCAGAGTGAAAAATGACAAAGCTTACCGATTCTTCATCTTCATGGTTAATCCTTTCCTTATGAAATTTTGCCTTGGAAATAGAAATCCCATGGAATGAGATCTCACGACCATGAGATCCCTTGAAGCATGAGTTACAAAAACAATGCTGTGTACCCATTTTGTCAAGTGCACAATGATAAATCAAATTGAGCTTGATACGAGCACCACAAGATGAGCAATATATTGGTGCAGGGGCAAACACAAGCTTGTCCATAGAACATAACTGGCATGACTTTTCACCAACAGAATGTGCTTTTGTGTTTCCTTTCATTTCCTGCATAATTTCTCGATCATTATTATAGCAATACCAATAATAATGGTCACATCTATTTAACATCATCTTTAGGCAAGTAAAAACAACATGCTGAATTTGAATAAAAAAATCTGACAGATGTATTAATTCTTTTAAGAATCAATACAGTCCCTAATCTACAAGTGAAGATAAGACATAATTGGTTGGCAACTTGGCTAACATAAATTTAAATATTGGTGGAAAAAAACAAGGACAGCACCACTAAGGTGGAGGATTTATTCGATTTGAATGTGCTTCAAGGACAAGAGATAAACCAACAACATATGAATGAAGGTTGTGAGAACAAACATGATCAAAAGGCTTTAATGGACAGAAAGAAGCAAACCATAAACAGCAGCAACTAAAAGGTGATGTACAAACCTGACCAATAAACTGCCTGAGACTGGATAAATGTTCTTTCATTTCTTCTACTGTGAAAGAATTGATCAAAGACTCACCCAATATCTTTGGCTCCACTGACTTCATTCCTGAATCTGCTGATAGTGCAATAAAATCACTTTTTGCCTCTAGTTTTGCTTTGTCAGACTTGGTCCTGACTTCTTTCTTCTCCTCTTTATGATCAGCAGTGAGTTCTTCAGAAGGAACAGGCACACTGCAAGAATTAAAAATTCGAAAATTATCTGCCACATTATTTCGAACCTCACTTGTGCATGTGGGTACTGTCTCCTCTTCTTTAGAACAACAAATGAGTTCTTGAGGATGAATGGGAATACTCTTCAAGTTGGACATCTGTGCAGTTTCTGTAACATTATTCCCAGTTGAACTAGTGCTTGTGGATTCCCAAAGGGGAGTTGACACTTCCATGTTAACCTTTGTTGCATCTAAATTATCAGATGCACAAGCTTCAGGCCATTGCTGCAAGTGTGGGAGTTGTTGAGGTTCACAAGGTTGAGTCATTGAACAAGCAACTACGTCAGAAACCCCAATTTCAATGGAAACGTGATTCCCCATCTTCAGACGTTTTGATGGATGCTGAATATCTTCACTAGGGTGAGGACTGGTGCAACTAAAATCATTATCACAGAAAGCATTTAAGCGACCATTTTCTTGTTTTCCAGATCTCTGGGGAGGTTTACCAGTAACACAAGACCTTCTGACAAGCCTGCATATGTTGCACTCCCAACAATGACAGTTATTGAAATGGGAAAGAAACATAAAATATTGGTCACAGTTGCATGTGCAGTCATTACATACTGTTGAATGCATATGTTTGATAAAGGAAACTTGGCTTCCATCTACATGTGTTGTCTTATAGTTCATATAAGAAAGAAGAAATCTAAACATGAGATCACTTGAATGCGCAGGTTTGGCAGCTCCAGTTGGACCCAAAAGGATAGAAGAACGTTCTAAAGCAACATATTGAACACCATGTGACTGTTTTGAAGGAAGAGAGGACACATTAAATGCCTTCTTCCCTGTTATCTTGTTGATGCATTCATCATCTTCAAACAGGCTATTTCTTGATTGGTCCTCAGATGACTCATCAAACTGCACATATGGCTGCTGTTGCGGCTGATGGAACAGCTGAGTTCCTGGCATCAGCAGTTTAGGTTGCAATAAATCCTCACAAGTTGACATGGGAGTATTGAAAATTGCTCTAGTCAAAATACCAGAGGCTTCAGGAATCATCTGTCGATCCTGTTGCAAGTTCTGGAAATTTGGAAAAGGTAACTCCAAATTTCCCCCCAACAATGATGAAACACCCACGGTATAAACATTCTGATTGTTCTCCAGGAAACGTCCATGTTTTATCACATTCATCTCACCTGACCAAATTAATCATTCAGAATAAAGCCATGAGAAAGGGCATGCAGAGAAAGAAAATAAAACTAAAAAAAAAGGGATAAAAGGATTAGGCATGCCAAGGATGGGTGAGTTGGTCTCAGTTGAAACAATAAAGTATTGGTGCCACATTCATGAGGACATAGGTGCCACCAATCCCAATTTTAACCCAGTCAAACGAGTCAATTAAAAGCATTCGAGGTAACCAAATTTCAACAAGATTATTTTTTATCAGCAAATTTCAACAAGATTATGCCTATCCAGATTCTAAACAGGTTCAAGAACCTATATGTAAGAATTTATGTATTATTGATTTATTGATTGATGTATTACAAGATTGATTGATATTGTGTTATGTATTACAACTCCTATATATAGAAGAGAAGGTGGTAGTAGGTGTAGTGGAGGTGATAGTGGGTTAGGTGAAGTGGAGTGTGTGGTGAAGTGGAGGTAGGTGAAGTGGAGTGTGTAGTGGAGTAGGTGAAGGTAAAGATGGGAAATTCTAACACTATAATATATACAAGTTTGAGACGGTGATCATAGATCAATTGTACATTGTCATAAATAATTTGTGTAATGGGAGGAATTGAGGTGCTCAAACTTAGTTAGGATATATGGACTAAACAGTAGGATACCATCATTATGTCCACAAGGTAATAAACAGAGAAACAGCCAGGGAAAAAACCAAAAATAAAAAGGTTAAAATTAACTTTGCTCCTGCAGCAAAAACAATAAAAACAAGAAGACATTTGTCCAATGCTAGGTCTCATTCACCACATACAAGGTTTAAATAATCTCACAAATAACAGAAGCATAAGAATTAAATTATGGTAAACACATTTAATTAGAATGTTGGGCACTGTTCCAGGCATAATAATTTGGGGAAATTTAGCACAAGAGTTGGAGAACATACGCTCATTGAGATGTTGCTGTGGGATATTGTTTTCTGATAACAACCCAGATAAATGCTGCAAGCTATTACCATGAAAAGTTGGTCCATCATCAAAAGGCACAGCGTTAGAATACACATCTGTATCCGAACATACTGTGATGGATGAAATCTGCTCAGAAGAAGGAACCATCTCACTAGAAACCTGCCTTATGCCTGCAGGTGAAAGCATTCTAGCTCCATCAAAAGCCATGAATGCAGTGGCAACTCCCTGGTTATAATCACCACAGGCAGATCCTGCAATTAAGTATTTATTAGACTGTGACATATAATTATAGAACGTCATAATTCATCAACATGAGGATTGTTCAACTTAGTTACCCTTGGAAAAGCCGAACGACCCATCGTTGAAAAAGCTAGAATCATTAGCACTGTTGGTCCTCAATGAACAATCAGTGCTAATAAACATGGAGCAATCAATGAGAGCATGTGGTGAATTTAAGTTGCCAAATGAGGATGTAGCATGGCGGGCCACCTGTTGACTGGAGAAGCAACCATCACGTATTTCATGCTGGATCATGTTTTGCAATTGACAAGCTAGCATCTTCTGGTTCATGTATTCCTAAGAACCAATAGAAAATACAAGAGTCAGTAAACTTGAACACCAACTAATAAGCAATTGACTTGAAAAAATTCATTTAACCCAAGGGGTTGAGTGTGTAAAAGGCTTGACTAATTTTCAGCTGACCTAAATATTAGAAGGAAGAAGTTACATGTTAAAAGATGATTTGAAGATGTGTGATATTGCATGCAATGATCTTAGATGTGAAAGCACAAAACACACACGCATGCACACACACAAAAAAAAAAACAGAAAAAAGTTATAAAAAGTGAATCATTACATGATAAATGAAATTAACCTGTTATGCTGAATGTTCAGTTTGTTATTAAAAAACATACCTTTGAAGCACCATTAACAGATAGTTGACTTTGCAAGTCAGGAACACGATCAGATGTCAACTCTCCCAACTGACGATTTGTATTCTGATTCAAATTTTTGGCACTGCAAAATATTTTGGTAATATAGAAAAGGTAAATAGATAAAACAGAATTAAAACTGAAATATAGATTTTTATCATATTTATTTTTAGAAGATTTGACATTCACAGGAGAACTTTGATAATTCAATTCATGTGAACATTTAGAACTTACATCTTATTTCTGAGAAAATCTTTTGCACACCTCATTTTGGACTCCTTGTACAAGGCATCTATAGAATCTCCTTCTTGTAGGGAACCTTGATGTAAACCCATCTCGTGCATCTGGGGTTGATGTGAAACATTCTGGATAAATTTGTATGCATTTACATCCATCATGCTGTTCATGAAGATTTATTCATTCTGCAAAAGTTGCAATTTAATGGAAATTAAATAGGTAATATAATAATATAAGAGAGGATCCAGTCATGATCATGATGAATTCATCATATCCTTATAGAACTTTCAAAGAACAGTAGAACTAGAATTAAAAAACAATATGTCAAAACTTGGAAGTCAAAATGACTGTTAAAAATATCAAACTTTTCACAGTTCAAAAGTAGAAACAATATCAGCATACAAAATGATGCTAAGGATCAGTGGTTTAACTGTCAGATGAATCAAATCAAACCGTGATCTCATAAATACATTAACAAAATCTATACACAAAAAAAAAAAAAAAAAAAAAAAAAAAAAAAAAAAAAAAAAAAAAAAAAAAAAAAAAAAAAAAAAAAACTATTTTTAATGAAGTGAAAAATGGAAATAGTATCCTAAGTAACTCCAAGAGAGTGCTAAAAATGAAGATTAAACATTCCTAACATCAGTTACTATCAATGTGATGCTACATTATCATCAAGGTTACAACTTAGTTCAATCTCATATCACTAACTCCAAAATCCTTTCAATTCGGTCTACCGTTGCCAATTTTGCTTTATAACAATTTCACCTAAGAGTGGTAAAAAATACCTTGGTGTCTGACGGTTCAACAAACCGGAGAATAAACCAAGCTAACCAAAACCAAACCATGACTCCATACTCATATCATAAATACAATAAACAAACTCAATTTTAAATATGTAATAAAATACAACATAACCAAGATTTTAATGTACCACAAAATTCCCATTGCCTTCACTACTACATAATTGTGTTGTACCAAAGACATTGTTCGAAAAATTGATCACTGATCACATGAAAGTGCGCGCACACAAACTATACAAGAAATCAACAATGTATAACACAATTGCTAAATTCTCCTTCATTATTCCCAAACCACTAAAAAAAAACTTAGAATTTTTATCTATCGCTCAGAAACAGAGATTCTTGAACGATGATAGAGAGAATCAGAGTCAGAGACAACATTAAATATTACAAATACATTGTAGAGAAGTTATGATCATGAGTTTCGAGATCGAGATCGAGATCGAGAGAGAGACCTGAGGAAGAACGGTGATTCTCGAACAGTCGAAACGTGAAAATCTTGAACCTAGCAACGAGAGAAAACCTGGGGGAGATAAAATAATCAAACAGCTGTGGCCTAAACCTCGGCAACTTTGCACTAATGTTGTTTTATATCAAAGGCATTATGTAATCCGGTTCACATATAGACAGTACTAGGTCGAACCGGACACCGGTTCACACGAATTTTACCAAATCCTGCTAGAAATTGGATTTCTAAATGAGGTAGGAAATAAAATACATTTCAATTTTTTTTGGGATAAATTACAAGGATGATTAATGAAAAAAATGACAATTATACCATAATTTTAATAAAACTACATTGACTACTTTTACAATAATAGTTACGAAATTAATATATTATTTTTTATATTTAAATATTTATTAATATTGAGTAATTTTATTCTATTTTTATTAATTTGAATTTTTATTAAATTTGACTATGTTTCATAAGATTTTAAGATAATCATTTTTTTAACACTAACAAATATGTATCCTGAAATATCTTAACTAAGATTGCAAATAAATCGAGTTGTTCACGAACTCGACTAGATAAGGACTTGATTCGTTAGCCAAACTTTCATGCTCATAATAAATAAAAAGTTCGACTTGTTTATTATTTATTAATTAAATAATATATTTTTATATATTAAATAATATAAAAATGTGTACAAATAATATAGGATAAATATATTATATTTATACATTACATAATGTAAATAATAGCAACAAAAAAATCACTATTGAGTTTCAAGCCGAACTCAAGTTTTATTAATATTAACGAGTCGAGTTGAACTCGAACTAGAGCTAATTTTCAAGCTCAACAAACAAACGAGCCACATTCAAGCCCTTGCAAAGCCCGACTTGGCTTGCTTCATATTAACTACATATACATATAATATTAGGTGGATCCCATCTCAAGTGATGAAACCCACATACAAGTCTTATGTCTAGTTGGTATCAAATCAATTTTTTCATCCGTTCCGAATTTATTCAAAATTATACATTCAATAATCACAATCCTCTCCATTCTATGTATGTAACAGTTATGAAATAGAAATGTAAATTTATAATTATTTGAAGGTCTCGTTTGGGAATCGGCTATTTTAGTAACTTTTTGATTTTTTAGCTAAAATATGAGGTATAAAAAATAGTATGTTTGTGATGACTTTTTAGTTTTTTTACGAAAAGATATGCAAAAAATAGATAGAAAAGATAATCTTTTGACTTTTTTTTGTATAGTTTGTTGAATTTTTAGATTTTTTTAATGATTTTTAAACTTTTAGACTAAAATGTGATATTATCAAACGAGGCCTAAATTAAAAAGAATTATTACACTCACCATTAAATAATGTAATAAAATCTCTCCATTACAAATATGAAATGGAGAGGATTTAAATACCTGTTGTCTTATTTTTCCTACGAAGGAAAATATCATAAATGCGAGTGTGCCAAATTAGATTCAAGCCAATTATTAAGCGACTGTGTTGACGGTTATTTTGCCTCAATGAAGAGGACTTCAAAATTGTCAAGTGTAGAGAAAAGAAAAATTAAAAGAAGAAAGAGGGAGACGGAGAAAGATGATTGAGTGAACAATCAAACTAACCATTAATTTATCTTTACTCTTATGCTTTGAAAATGAAGTACATAAAATAAAGTACAGAGAACTTACCTCTACTCTTATGCTTTGAAAATGAAGTGCATAAAATAAAGTGTAGAAAATTAAGTGCAGGAAATATAAATGACAAGAAAATAGAAATCAATTGTCTTTGATTTGAGTTCTGGATCCTTTACAATGTAGCCATGAATGGCTATTTATAGGCAAACATTTGTAGGAAAAAACTACCTAAAACTACCCACTTTTCCACCTCTTCCATTTCATATTCCATGATCTTTCGTGATCTTCATATAACTTCCTTCAACATCAACTTCATGCTCCATATTCTCCATCATCTTTCTACATTTTATAACTTCTTATAACTTCTAAATGAGTAGGATGGTGCCACATACCCTAGAATTATATAAATAATAAATAATAAAATTACAAATTTATGGTGCCAACAATACCAATTCATTTAGGGGGGTCACCTTGCCTTACATATATTGGCGGAAAATGTACCTCTTGAACCTGAAATCATGTGAACTTACTTCCTGAGCTGTGTTGAAAATTCATTTACACCAAGATTACAGAAATGTAGAGTATTTTTCGAGACAAAAAAAAAAAAAAAAAAAAAAAAAAAAAAAAAAAAAAAAAAAAAAAAAAAAAAACCAAAACAAAACAAAAACACAATCAACAAAATGACACAATTTCCAATTTCTAATCAGTTGAAGACAAGGTCCTCCTCCTTATGCTCCTATTACCACTGTGCATGGCTTCCCTCACCTCAGCTCCACCGTGCCTCTTCACTTCCTTTGATTCAACAAATGCATCCTCCAAAAACAATGGGTTCATAAATCCTTTTGATCCTGATGCTGACCCTGATGGAGTCCCCTCACATTCCTCCTTAATCTCATCATCACTGGCACTGTCAACTTTCATAGGCGCCTTTGTCTTTGCTTTTACTGCTAATTCCTTGTTTTCGTAGAAATTTAATTCCACTTCTTTTTCACTGCTGCTCTCTGCAGAGGAAGTATCACTCAGAGTGTGGAATATCGTGACATTCTCTTTCTTTGAACCTTGAAAAGAATAGCTCTTTGTTTTGCCATCGTATAACGGAAGGAGAGATTTCGATTTTGAGCCAGTTCTATCCCTTCCCAAACTGTAGGTTGTTGAGAGTTTCCTCTCTATGTCTTGCTTGTCTCTCACCAAATCCCCCAGTTTTTCTATCATTTCATTTTCCACTGCTTCCTCTGCTGTTTTTTGCTTAATCTCGGTGATTGTCCTATCAAATGCTTTCTTTTGGAGCTGAAGCAAACGCTGAAAAGCAAATAATGTAAGAAACATGTTCAAATTACTAAAGTGTCTGATATTGCAATTCGCAAGGTTTCGTGTCCTTCCTAATCAATCATTTTCCTGGAAGAAATTTTTGATTCAGTTTGTTAGTTGCCAACTCATTTAACAAGCCTATCCTAAGTCCAATGTATTGGCAACATAGAATTCATTTTCTTTACAAATCTTGTCCAAAATATTTTTAACTTTTAACTGAAAAAATCAGGAAATGTGAAAGAAGAGGATGGTAAACTTACTCTCTTTTCTAGGAATTTTCCAAGGTCTTGACCTTGAAGCTTCTTTTTCCTCCAAAATAAACAACAGAATCGTACAACTGTGACTAGTACCATCAATATTACAGACTCGAATAGCAGGAACACAACCACCCTTGCGTTTCCTGAAAGAAGTTATTTATGTAACAAAATGTTCTACATTGTAGCAAAATGGATATGAAAAAAGAAAATAACAAAAGGAGATATAAATTTTGACGGGTCACAATTGTTATGTATTCATCCATACGATATTCAACAACACTAACAAGTTACCTGTGTGGATGTTGACACGATTGGGCTCGGCATGGGAGCAGCTGGATGCAAGCTTCTGACCTAGTAATAACTGAATTATTAAGACGCATAATGGTTTAAAGTAAGGCAATTATTGAGGTAGCTAGGAGATTGATTACGTGTGCTACGGCAAGGAAGTGGATTGTCAATCTCTGCATCAAAAGGGGAAATGGAAATTAAAAACTCAACCATGAGAGAGTTTAAATTAAGACTTACCAGCATGTAATAAAAAAATTTCCGCAAAAGGACACACCAATAGTGGCATTTTATGACTCCCCAAAATTAGCAAAAATAGCATATTTAAATAAACAAAAATCTCCATTACTTCTCAAATATTATAGTGACCTAGGATTCAAAGAACACAATTTTACTGCAAGTTCTACCTAAGCTTTACCCAACGTGTAATTTATTCTAGTATCTGACAATAAATGGAGAAAAACCAACTTCAGAAAATTCTTAATTTTTATTTTTATTTTTTGAACGAAGAAAACCACGGCACTAGAACTCTATTTTTGTCCATCCAGCTTGCAGAAGAGGATCAGGACTCAAAACTTAGACTGCCGTGTAAAACTTTCATAAAACAAGATGATTTTGCACCCTCCAATAGTAAATTTTTGTCAGGAAGTTGTAATACATGTCATTTTTTCTAAAAGGAAAAAGAAGTCATACAACCATTCAAATTAATCAAGGGTCCAAAGTCATCCAATAAATTATGTATCTTATGAGTTTCTTGGCAAAAAAATCATCCAATCCTGTTGATATATTGGCAAACAGACGTCACTTCTGATTTTATTTATATAAACTTCATAAACATAAACATGCAGTTTTTCAAGCTCCAAATCATAAAAGATGCATCCAATAAACTCAATTTTAGAAGCATATAAGTTTATTGAAAGAATCTCACTTGAAGCAGTAATAAAGGCAAGAAGCATCCTTTCATCCAGCACAAAATGTTGCAGATCACTCTCTGACAATAAGGATGAAAATTGACCTGATGCTGACAATAAGGATGAAAATATTACAGATCACTCTCTGATGTTGCAGATAAATCTCACTTGAAGCTTATATTATGAAACAAGAGAGGATTTGAAAATAATAAAGGCAGAAATTAGAAATACATATAAACATAACCTGCGAAAAGTCAGAATTACCAGAATAGCTTTCGGACCAATAGATGGACCCAGTTGCTGGGACAAGCAAAGTGAAGACTGCATTTCTTGGTTTCATGGATGAGATGTAAGTGTATTCCGCAATTGTGTGGTTGATTTTTCCTTCCATTTCTGTCTGAGATATATAAACTGCATACCCGGAGCAATCAAGAAGTGGGCTAACTTGAACTACAGAATCCAGTGCAGCTGCTTTCGGGAATTTTTTGGGAACCCCAATTGGTGAGAATGAGTACAGAAAACCATCCAATGAACCAATAGATATCCAGCCTGTTATAGTGATGGGGAAGAAACAAAAATTAAGTTCATTGATGAAATCTTCTGAATATTTACAGATACAGTGCCTGAATTAGTTAAAACTTTTGCATCATGCATATGTACTTAGACTAATATAGTGTATAATTTGACTACATTTCTTGTGATTGCTACAGTTTTTACGTTTGTTGTTTTCTTAGTCTGAATTATGCATGCTATACATATAATAAAAAAAATAATTCTAGCTTCTAATGCATTAAGGTTGTGTTTGGTTCACGAATTTGGGTAAAAATTTGGAAGAAAGAATTTGGAAGGGGAAAGAGAAAAGGTAGATGAAATGTGAATGAAATATAACTACATTTCACACTCCTTTTCCTTTTTCCTTTCCAAATTCCTATCCAAATCCATAATCTAAATAGACTGAAAAACTCAGTCACTCTAAAATGTAGGTTTAAGTTAGCCTTCAGCATTTCTTTACTTCATTGATGACCGTAATCATACTCAAGTCATATAGTCACCATTAGAATCAACAGCTGGTGCACAATCTGCCGTACTTAATGGCCCAATACTTCTTTGCCACAAAACTGTTCCAGTAGAAACATCTAGTGCCAGCACGAGAGCCCTAACTGGTACAGTAACATACAGGAGACCATTGTTTCCCGGAGTAATAGTAAAACTCTTGTCGAGCGAACTAAAATCCTGGATCCATTTAAAACGAGGACTTCGAACTAACAAAGCATAGAGTTCTCCTTCTGTATTTGAGATCTGTAAAAACATAGACACAAATCTCGTGAAATCAAGTGTACCAAAAATGAAAGAAGAAGGTCTACCCCAGTGAGCATAGATAGTTTAACCTTATAAGAAAAGCTTCAAAATAGCTTTTAGGAAGAGAATCTAAAGATACACTCTTCAAATGGATAAAAAGACAAAAATAACTGACTTTGCTAAAGAAATATTTATAGAGGGAATGAGGAACAAGGTCAAATTGGAGATCATATTGCTAAATTAATCTCCAACACTACATCAAGACTGCATTGGAAAAATCATTTGGCATATAAAAATTGATTATTGTACTTCGGATCCCAAGAAGTATATTGAACATACTCCAATTAAAATCTTAAAAAAAAAAAAACTAATTAGAGATGAGTGGACCATACATATATGGTAGCTTCACACTGGTCAATCACGGGTGTTGAAGTAAAATAACAATCTTTGTCATTTTTCCTGCAACCTTGGCGATAACCAGATTGATAGAGCAGAGGTCCGGCAATCCAGAGCAATTGGCCCTGCAACCTGTATGCAAAGATTCCCTTGTTTTTAACATTGATAAACACAGATGAACTCAACATGCTTACAGAGAGCCCAATAATTTCACCCTCCTCATCCCCCGCCTCTGAACCAAAGAAAACTTCTACAGCAGATTCAGAAGTTCCAATATTCAATGGATTGATTCTCAGCACTTTGTTTTCTGCAACCAAAAAAATCTGCCAATAATTGGCCTTGCACAAGTCAATAAACACAGAATGATGCAGATAACAAATATATATATATATATATATTATAGAAAGGCCATGACTAAAACAACAAAAGGCAGCAAATCCAAATGTAAAGAAAGAATTGCCCTACTTTCCAGTTGTGGGTTTTGGAAAAATATTGCAGCATTTCATAAACCCCAACAGCCACCATCAAACGTGTGTTGGAAATAATGGTTTTATAGGTTTATTTTAGGCCAACTTTGAGTAGGTTCCACACGTCTTTTGGGTGAGTCCAAAGAGGTGACGTGTTCCTTGTTGTATGGCAAGTCACTCCCAAAGAGGTGACGTGTTCCTTATTGTATGGCAAGTCACACAGTGCAAACGGTTCGTTAAAATCATTTATGAGTGAATGGGAAGTTGACGTCATTTTCGGGTTCATGGAATGGACAATTAAAAAATAAAATGTGAGTTTCCTTGTAAGGCTTGTCCTACATTGAAACTTTAAGAGAGCTTGTGTATGTATATAAGCTCTACGTGGCAACACTTCGGTTGGGCCCCAACCCCAAGGGGCACCCCAAGTTTGTAGAAGGGAGAAGTTATGGACAAAGTGGGCTTTAGCCCAAACCACCACATGCGCACACGCTGCTGCCCGTCCAGACAGCGTGGGTCGGTTCTGACATTAATTTTTTGGACAAGATTTATTTGATTCTTTTCAAATTCTTGCAGGAAAATTATTTGAATTTCTAAATGAAATTAATTTAATATTTTGCGCCAAAATTTTTTTCTATCCAAACAGTGCCCTTGTTCAGTCCAATTTTCAGCAAGATCAAACCGGTTAAACCGGACAGATTAACTGTCCAGCAGGTTCAAACAGGTCTGCACCTGTTCAAATTGAAACCTTATCTGTTCAAATTGAAATCAAACCTGTTCAGGTTTGAAATCCTACCTGTTTGGGTCTGTCCCAGCAGTCACCTTTTGCCTATAAATAGAGATCATTTCCAGCAGATTTTCACATCCAGAAAATTCATTTGTCTTCCTGGTTTTGCTCTCTTTTTGTATTATTCTTCATTCTAGTTTTTAGAGAAATATTTGAGAGTATAAAACATAGGTTTTAGTTCGTCGAAACAGATTGTTTTTAGTGCTAATACAATTTCTGTAAATCATTGTATCCTGAGAGATAGATGCCATTCATTCATAAGCACCGAAGCAGGGAGAATCTATCTTAAGGACAAAGTGTCACACACTTGAGTTGATCGTTTTTATTACTTATTCATTTCGGTAAAATAAATTCCGTAAGTAATTTATTTTTATTTGTTTAATTTGTTTTAATTTATCTATTATACACAGAAGATTGTTCTAACAACATGAACCGGGAAATTACATAACTTTACCCAGAAATAGAATTAAATGTACATCAGTATAGTCCCCATTAAATGAGCGTCTACAAGGGCTAGATTGGATAAAAACCCATCTTTTGGCATAATTTGCACAAAATAGCTGCACTAAGGTGCAAACCCACAACCTCAAGGTTGATAGTCCGAAAAGGACAAATATGCTAAGCATCAACAAAGAAATACCGATGCATATCAGTAAGGCAAACTCCACAAAGAAAATATCAGTAAACCAAACTCGATTAATTCAAAGTCACAGCTATTTTAAATTGATAACTTGTATTTTTATATACTAACAGAGATCTAGCAGTCAAAGGATGATAGATTACTACACTGCTGCTCCTAACCTTCATTACAACAACTTTGCTAATTTAAGCTTTAAAAATAAAATTTAAAAAAAAAAGAACAAGAAAAAAAAAAGACAATTGTCTCACCTTCCTTGAACCACCATGAATTGGAGCTATTCCAACATTACATATATAATTCAGATTGACAGTCCAAGCAATGGAACCATTACTTTCAAACGCAAACAAGTTCCTCTCTGAACAACTGTAAATTTTTCCATCATCTCGAATTAGAGGTTTGGAAAGCCTACGAGCAGTTTGCCCTTTAACTGAAAATTGAAGGAATCGCATCGCATTATTAGAACCCCCCCAAGAGAAAATTGCAAAACATAAGGAGTTAGAAAAAACAGAGAGAGACCTGAAAATAGGTGGGGATTCGAAGGGTATTCCGGGAATTGCGGCGGCTGAGAAGCAACCAAAGCAGATCGGAGGGCGATGATGAAGAAGAAGATGAGAATGGATTGGATCGGCATAGATTCCAGAGATTAAAACTTTTTGAAACACAGATAAATGTGACTGGATCACGCATATTTTCTAGGGTTTGGTTCTCTCTCCGTTTCAAAATAATAAGAAACGGTTACTTAACCGCTCTGTGCAATTGGCGGGAAGACTTCTGCTTCGTTTGGTCTATCTAAAACCGGAGTTTTGTACGTTTTGCACAAAACTTGGCCGGCTTAGACCCGGTTCGGTTGACCCAGTATTCAACTCACTCCCTTGGTAGTAGGTTATATAGTATAGATTCTTTTCGGTGTCAAAAATAAAATAAAATATAATATAAATTATCTAACGATTTTAATATAATTATATACAATTTATTTTAAAATATAAATTTTATAACACTTTATTAATCATTTGTTAGTAACCTGACTTTAATATCTTTTTTTCCAATCTATTTAACTCAGTAATATTAACCTTCCTCTCTTTCTTCTAAATCTATTTGACTCATTGGTCGCAATTATTTAGACGTTATTTTCAAATTAAAGAGATCAAATTCTTTTTAAAAACACGCGAAACAAATATATGAACTAAATAAATAAAATTGAAAAGATATGTTTTTAATTCATCAAAATCAATGAAAAATCATTACATCCAAACATCATTTGGTAATTCTTGTATTTTGCTATTTTATGTCTATTTGATCCCTATATTTTTTATTGACTCAATTAACTGCTTATTTTAAATTATGTCAATTTAATCTAACAAAGAATGATCACTAAATTTGTTAAAATTAACTCACCGAGTTAATAAAATTTACAATTTTATCTCTAAAAGTATAGAATAAAGCTTTGTAGTTCAAAAAAAATGGGGCTCGAATGGCCTGACCCCTCTCTCTCTCCTCCTCCTCCTCCTATTGGTCTTCTTTTTTTTCTTCTTCCTTCTGAACTGCAACGGTAATGGCGGCGCCTAAAGGGTTTGCAACGGTGGGCTCTCTCTCTCTCTCTCTTATATATATATATATACGGATTTGTGTATATACAGATCTAAACAGCCAAGGTGTGTTAAATATGTTAACCCATGTTGTGTGTACATATATAAATCTGTATATATATATAGATTTGTGTATATCGACATTTTTTTTGGCCAACCGATGATTTTCTCCTCAGTTCCCCTCTCTTTTTTTCTTCTTCTCTCTTCCTCCCTTTTCTTTCTTTCGCCTCTCTGTTACAAGTTTTAGAGAGGGGAAAAAAAAATTTGCCAAATGTTTGGTTTTGGTTTTGGTTTTGATTTTGATTTTGGGTTTGGTTTTGTAGGTTTAGTTTTGATTTGATTTTGGATTTTGATTTTGAATTTGGGTAGGAAGAAGAGAGGAGAGAGAATCCATCATTTTGATTTTGTCTCATAAAACTAGCATTGCCGTCTTCTTTCTAGAGACAGAACAACAAACAACAAACAACAGAGACAGAGAGCAAGAGTAAAAAAAAAAAAAAAAATGGTGCCAAAACAATGTCGTTTTGACAACTCTAGCCGCTCGAATCATGACTTTTTCGAGCTACCTAGCGAGAGTATAATACATGCCTGTTCATTTCCTTATTTTTCATAAAATAATGTTAAAATCAATTAAACTAAATTAAGACAAAGTCAAAAACCCTAAATGATACTTTTATGGGCAAAAAGGATCAAACCAACAAATGCCCCACGTTGCACATCACAGAAAATATTGCAGCAGCCACGAACCTCTACCATCCAAAAAATGATCGAAGGTTCTCATCTTATATTTCCCCTGCTGGTTTTTTAATTGCAAAGTACAACAAAGTGGGAAAGACAGCTCTCTGATCAACTTGTTTGTACACGTGAAAATAAGAAACAAAGCAGAGGTTTTAATCAACCAATTCTACAACTGCTTCATCATACAAACCAGTATATTTTTCCATTAAAATTTCCAAAACTCAATCCTGCATTGAGATGCCACTCTATCAGATGCTTGTTCTTCCTGTTCGTCCACCTACTGGGCATTTACCTGAACCACCATCTCTGAACAGCAGAAATCGGAGTGTTTAAAAACGGTGCATAACGGTGGATCGGTGGATTAACAGTCCTCCCAATCTTAGCCCACACGCTTTGGTGGTAACCACCAGTCACAGGGGCATGATACATGAGCTTCAATAGCTGCCCAAAAGAATTGCACAAAAGAAAATGAGGAATAACAAGATGTGTGATTCCATAAAACAATTGTTAATCTTTCCTGAACCCTAACCATGCAATTTTTCTTTTTTCTTTTTTTACTTCATAATTGGTCACCTCTGTTACAAGTTCTTTTTTTCAATGATGAGCCCTGAAATGTAAACAAAAGTTCAAAATTTCATAGACTAATAATAAGAAGCAAAGCAAACCTGCCAATACATGAATGTCAGTATTATGTTGCGCTGCGACCTGTATGTTCAAATGATGAGGTGAATTTATAATATATAAAAAATAATAATAAAACAAAAATCGACAGAAATAACAGGTATAAAAAGGAAATGAATTACTGACGAGAAAAGGGAAAGAATTAGAAGAAATCCAAGTCCGATCTCAGCCTGCGAAGAAAGAATGCTAATGGTAGTTGTATTTGACTCTATCCACACACATGGCTCTTCCAAGTACTTCCTGTCAACAACCCCAGAAAAGTAACAAATATGGAACTAAACATTATAAACATATTGATTTATTAAATCAAAATAGAAATAAATCATTTTTCACATTCTAAATATTGGAAAATGAGTGTCAATAAAAAAAAAAAATTCTATCTATTTTAGAAAACTCTATTCATAAACAAATTGGAAGTTAAGGCTTCAAATTCCCAAAAATTACAAAGCCATTGTCTCTGATCATCTGCCTCCTTCCCCCAAAACCAATTCCACACTATCACCTCCTACACCACCTTCTTCTTTGAATGGCCTCCTCTATTTCAAGTCTCCACTACAATCTCTCTCCATATAATTCTCAATATTGGTCTACTCATCAATAGATCCCCCGATCCTTTTCTACTTCGAGCAGGACTCTGAATTTGGAGAGTAGACTAGGGTTCTTTTCCCTCTAGATACATGACATCAAGGATGCTGCCATCCAAGCATCTAATCCTCTTCCCATGACAACAACCAGACCAACTTTTACACCTAAAGCAACAATTCCGGCATAACCCAATATATAACAAAAATGGAAAAAAATAAACTCCATGACTCTCTCACGACATCACAATGCTTATCAATATCTATGTAATTCTTATATTCTATTGGGTCAAGTCAAATAGCAACTACAACAACTATATAATAACAAACAAACAAACAAAAGCAAATCTTGGCTTTTATAAAAATGTGATAGATATGAGAATTAAATAGAATAAGATCTAATCAAACAATCAAATCATAATAAAATGGATACCTTGAAGTTCTCATCAGAAATATGAATGGGGCCATTAGAGGCCTTCTAGAGGTTTTTGGGGCACAAATGGGGGTCTTGGAGCTTTTTTGAGGCCCCATTGCCCAGGAAAGAGGAAAAAAAAAAAAAAAAAAAAAAAAAACGGGACTTTTCTTTTCACCCTTTCATTCAAGGCCAAAACCTTCAATATAACATAATCCAAGAAGAAAATAAGGACCTAAACATGTCAAACCCCACTAAGACTCCAGACCAATTATTCAAGATGAATCACAAATAAAGTTAACACCATTAATAATCCTAGCAATTAGAAAAATTAAAAGCTGTAAGCAAGAAACAATCAATTCATTTCAGCAAAAAATTAGAAATTTCCTACCTGTACAAGGAAGAACGACTAAAATTACGTCTAAGGAACTTGGCAACATGTTCCAGAGCCCAGCATAAAATGGGAAGTAAAGCAACTGCAAGAAATTTAGCACCAGTATACAAAGGAGTTAAGGGAAAGAAACCGACTTACAATAAAAAATGCAAGGAATAGCACAAGAGGCCAAGTGACACTAACATTTGAGGTAAAGACGTGAAGCGACAAAAGTAAGGCAGTAGATGAAGTAAATAAAATCCTTGGTTGCAATCACAGATTGGAACCACACTTGCACTGCCTGCAAATTCCATGCTCTAGGTTTCTATGGAGTACAGACGAGGACAGGTTAGTAAAAGAGTAAAAACCATTGCAACTCAAAATGAGTAAAGGATCAGAAAGGACTCAGACTGGAACAGCAAGGTTACCCCATATAGAGAGTACACGGAATACAGAGAAGAACATGCAAAACCCATAAAGGCAAGCCCGTATGCCCTATTTGAAAGATTTCTAGGTGCAAAAGGAATTATCACAAGCACAGCCACTGCGAATACCTGATTGAGAAAGAACATGAAAACAGTATTAACAAATGACAAGGTGAAAAACAAAAAGAAGATTGATATACCCAGAAGATATTTCAATGGTTACCCTGCAGGCAACAAAAACCAAAAGAGGTTACAGTCATGAATACAGCTCTCAATCCCAAAACAAAAACTGTTTAACAATAACTTGAATATTTGGAATGAATCAGATGGCAGGATCATGAACTTAACTACAAAGAATATACTCACTCACACCACTTGAAAAGAGTGTGTAACTATTTTCTTGGGATCATTATATTGAAATCACCACTCTTACATATTTTCTGTCAAAAAATAAAAAAAAAATACTAAATCTAATGGAAATAAGGAAAAAGGTGCCAAGTTCAAATAAATGTTTCTGGTGTCATATTGATGTACAACCCAAACTATAATACCAAGAATGTACATGATATTTAGACAAAATCAAGAACTGAGTAGTTCATAAAGCGTTGTCGAGAAGTTTTCAAGTCTTGTTAGTTCGGTTCCATTTCTTTTCTTTTCTTATTTTCTTTTTCTTTTTGGCACCCTTAGTAGATGAAAAGAATTGTGATACAAATGAAAAATGCAGAATCATAAAGGAAAAATATACAGCTTTGGCGAGCCTCAAATCAAAAATAGCAGAAACATTAGCTTCCAAGAGGACTATAGAATATCCTCGTTTAGAACCACATAGGATAAAATTCACTAAGATGAACAAGGATGGCAAACATGGAATTATGGAATAAGTAGGCTGAGTTGAGAACATCATCTGATGATTCGATCTACAAGATGTTACAATGTGTTACTGTAAAACTTTAAGGCATCCATCGCAGGTTGTATATACCTTATACCAAATTCCAATGATAATAAAAAAATGAATAGTCAGTTCTGAGAAAATTTAGGTTTGCACTCGAGCAAAAGGCAAATATCAAATTAAGTTGATGCTGTGAAGAAAAGAGGTAACTCTAGCCATGCACCAGGCAATGAATCTTGAATCACAGTAACTAAATCATGTTGCCCAAACTGCCACTAGAAGTGTAACCATGATAAATGCAAGTGTTGGGCCACAACGAGGCCCCAGAATGCAGTATACCAAAATCTTGTAAAAAATGCCACCTATTTGGATGGATAGAAATCAGTGCTTATTTACTCACACCATACAGCTTCTTGTAATTGTTCAAAAGTAAGGTAATTTTTTAAAAGACACCACCAACAATTGTTTTCTAATTAGTTCCGTGCCAGGGTAAAGTTTGTCAAGGAATCCATTCAGACATTGGTGTGTGCAAATGTACATTCATTAATGTATACTATTACCATCTATGAATCATACCCAGGCATTGATCAAAAATTGAATCGTTTGTCCATCCCAGCGCAAAGAAGTTGGATTTGGAGCTGCAGTTGTTGATGACCCTGATGTTCTAGTAGTTGATCCTACAGCATAGAGTTAAGTTCAATTTCAATTAAACCTTCCAACTCATAATATAGTAAAAAATGTTGTAACAAAATTTTGAAAGAAAATTGAAAAATTGGTTGTAATACATTTCTCAAGCGAAAATGATTTTCCAAAAAACGCAGAAAATATAAATGAAAACCTTGGAAAAAGAACAAAAACTTTTTTAAAAAAGAAAAAATATATTCAAAAAAAGAAATCAACAAGTGTTTTAAAAAAGAAAACTTATAAATGTGACATTTGTAACGAAAAGGGTCACTATGCACCCGAATGCCCAAAAAAGGAAAAAAGTGCAAAGAAAATTATTTATGTTCTTGAAGAACAAGATTTTGAAATAATATATGGCGAAGAAATTTCTAATCAAAAAGAAATCTTGTACGAAATTTCTAATGATGAAGAAAGTTCAGATGAAGAACTAATCTTCATGATGACTAATATAGAGAGTCAAGAAATATCTCAAGAAGCAGACAATATATCTCAAGAAGAATAACAAGCCATTCGACTTGGAGATGTAATTGGAGAAGAAAAAACTTTTACCAAAGAGGAATTAGCAAAATTCAAAAAAATGCAAGAAGTTACTTTGCCAGAAATTTACAAACTTTTAAAATTCAACTTCTTTTCAGCAAGAGTGTTTGAACAATACAGTGGTAACACTCAAGCAAAATGGTCAGAAGAAGGAAATATTGATATTCCGTTTTTTTATAAGAAAAATGTTGCAAAATGGAAAAAGAAATATCCTGAGATTCAATATATTCATATTAGATTAATACAGGTAACCAAAACAGCCTTATTTCGCCAAGGGATTGATACTCCTATTTTGACAGCAATTTTTAATAAAAGATTTTCCGACCCAATGAAAGCAATCATTGGAGGAATTCAATCTAATTTGGCTAATGGAGTAGTTTGGTTTAATGTTAAATCAAATTTCTTTATTTCCATAAATGATTCTAATCTTAAAGACACAGTTAGAATAAGAATTAAAACATAAAGATTAGGAATGAAATCGAATTCCCATGATTTGGCCATTCGTTGGAAAACAATTCACGACCTAATGATTAGAGTAAAACCAATGATTTGATATTCAACTTACTCTAATGATTTGGCCATTCGTTGGAAAACTATTTTTATTTTACTATTTTATGGAATTATAGAGTTAGGAGAAGTTAGGCAAAGAAGTAGGCAACAAAGAGATGGTGAGAATTTATATTGCTTCATTTGTTGGCTTGAATGCCAATTTATAGAATACATCTTGTAGATACAAACAAAAACCAAAAAACTATCCTAATCTAAAAAGTCTATCTAGAGTTATTACATATCTAATTTGTTGAAATTTACAACACCAATACGTCTAAAAACTTTGCAACTTTGTACAAAAGTCTACAAGCCTAGGCATAGGCTTACACAGTTTCCACAAAAATAAATACATCGACAAAAAAATCTTTGGAAGCATAAATAAAAAACTACAATTATTTGCCATCTTCACACAAACTACAGTTATATACACAGCCTACCCTCCCCGTGGTTCAAAGAAATAGACTGATATAGATAATATTTGGTTGATCTATTTGTCGTGTAGTGTCGGGTGAAAGGATTTGTTTGACAACTTTCCGTTTAATAATGCAAGTTGCTCCACGTGCCCTGGATAAGGTCGGAGTCGATCATGAGACAATTGCATGTGATAGTAGGGTCCACTATGCTTCCATCCTGTTTACGAGATTGTGATATTTTTCATCAGTCTCTAATAGAGGGGAATCAGGATCCTAACTGTATTGCTCATTTCAAAATTATTCTACATCATCTGCAGTAATGGCTAGTTCTAACGGAAGATCTAAATTATTTCTCTTTTTAAGATTTAATAACAAGTTAAGGAGACCTTTGATATGTTATGGGAAAAATGAGTTACAAATAATATCATACCATCTGTGACCATGAATGGCAACTTTGTTGAGCTATGGTTATTAGAAGTTTGTGAAACAATTATTAGACTGTCTATCCAATATTCTGTTAAAGGAAGTTTTTGAATATTTTCCAATCTCTCCCTTCGGCGCTCTTCATCCAAATAGTCATCTTCAAATTTGAAATCTTCAGTTTCTTTGAGATACCAAATTTGATATTGTTGGAAAAAATGTTCTTGTTCTCGCCAACCAATTGTGTTGGAGATTCAAAAAGTAAATATTTACTCCATCGGAAGCCTTTTACTAGCCATGAGAGCATTGCTTTTATAATCATTGGATATTCTATCCACTGGATTGGATCTAAAATTTGAAAAATAACTTAATTAATTATTTCCCAATCTATATCTTCAAAAAGCCACATGTCATGATTTGCCAGGATGGTTATTTTGAGAATTCCATCTTTAAAATTTAATTTATCAGAGGATCATTCTAAGATTTGTCTAATCTTATCACGATGATCCTCAACTTGATTTTTTTATTAAAAGAAAATTTTCTTTTGGAAGCAAAGTCCTTACTTTTTCAAAAAGACATTCTTTTTATTTGTTCAAAAACTAGATCAGAATACTCATCTGATATGAGGTCTGATAGTTGAAGAAAATTGTTTATTTTTTTGAAATTAAAATCTTCATTCCAATTCATTTGTTTAAGGATATTGAAACAAAGATTTTGTAAATCTTTTAACTTAGCTATTTACTTAGCTAATTTGTTGGCCACAACTCTCATGTGTTTTCGAAATTTCACTTTGTTCTCTACAACGTGAATTCTTCAAACTCCATAGAGTTTTGTATAAATTTCTCTGGATATACCAGGGCTGAAAAAATCTTTTATTTCACATTCATCTGGTTTAGATGTCCGAATATTAGTTGGAACTGGGTTAGTTCTTATTTGACAAAAAATATTTTGATAAACAGGCATAGCTGGTGCACTGTAAAAAATTTTTTTAGCTTTGGTCATGCTATCATAGGATTTAAAACTAGCTCTTGGAAATTCGCAAACTTGCTATTGCAATCATTCCACTCAGTGTAAATTCCAGGTTGTCTTCTTGCAAACACAACACAAACTTTTTCTTGTCTGGGGATTGCTTTTTTAACAATTGTCACGCAATCTCCTTATGCGAGTTGTTTACCCTTATTCATTTTTTTCTCTTGGTCTAGAGATCTTCTGCAGAAATTAAAATTACTTAATTTTTTAAAAACAATTCCTAGTAAGAAAATATGCAAGAAAATTGTTAGTACCTCTAAGATGTTCTACCTCAGAAGTATATTCTGAAATCTTATTATACCAGGCTAATCTTCTTCCTTAATAGGTTTTTTATTGATCAGAAATCTCTAACTGCTTTATTATAGTTCGTACAATAAAATTTTCTAGGGGCTAAATAAATATGGAAACTTTTTATTGACAATTTTATTGTAAGTAATTCTTTTTCAAAAATAATATATTTTTGTTCATTTGGTTTAAATGTTCCAGAATTATATCCACAAATTAATTCTTTTTTATTTATCAAAAAAACAAATAGCTCTTCATTTGTAATTTTATGGGTATTAGATTTTTTCTTGGTCTAATCCCATTTTCTGATAAAGGTATTTCTTTATCATGCCATAATTTACTTGGTATCATTTTAAGAACACATCCCCAGCATGCTTTTAAGGCATCTGTTTCTAAAATTAATTTATCACCTGTTTTAGGTAGATAAACGTCTGGTAAAGTTTTAACATTTTCTTTAATTTGTTTAATTAAAGCAACATTCTCGACTGTCCATTCGAAAATAACATTTTTCCTTAATTTGGTTAACCAAGGAATTTCTATTTTTGATAGATTTTTGATAAAATTTCTTCCATAATTTAAAATACCAAATAAACTCTGTAATTGTGTTATGTTTTTAAGAGTATCAGGAAAATCTCATACTTTGGACAAAATATATTCCTGTAATTTTAAACCTTTCTGGTCTAAAATTATTCCCAAAAATTCAATTGATTCTTTTTCTAATTCAATCTTTTATAGTGACAAAATAATTCCATATTTTTGAAATTTTTCACAAAGTAATTTTAAATGTTTCTTATGCTCCTCCCGGGTTTTGGAGAAAACAAGTATATCATCAATATAAACTATACAACAATCCTTAAGATCTTTAAAAATTGTATCCATCCACCGTTGGAATACTTGTGGTGCTATATTTAACCCAAAAGACATAACATTCTAGTGGTAATGTCCTCTAAATGTACTAAAATCCATTCTTACAATCAAATTTGCTAAAGAATTTTGATCCTTTGGTTATCCCTTGGTGGAATAAGACTGTTATGGTTACTTGCATTAATCCAATATGAATATATTGAATCTCAGGATATTTCTTTTTCCATCTTGCAACCTTTTTCTTATTAAAAAAAGAAATATCAATACTTCCTTCTTCTGACCATTTTGCTTGAGTGTGTGTTACCACTGTATTGTTCAAACATTCTTGCTGAAAAGAAGTTGAATTTTGAAAGTTTGTAAATTTCTGGCACAACTTGCATTTTTTTCAAATTTTGCTAATTCTTCTTCGGTAAAAGTTTTTTCTTCTCCGATTACATCTCCAGTTGAATGGCTTGTAATTCTTCTTGAGATATTTCTTGACTATATCTATATTAGTCATCATAAAGATTAGTTCTTCATCTGAACTTTCTTCGTCACTAGAAATTTCTTCGTCATATATTATTTCAAAATCTTACTCTTCAAGAACTTTGATAATTTTCTTTGCACTTTTTCCCCTTTTTGGGCATTCGCGTGCATAGTGACCCTCTTCGTTACAAATATAACATTTACAAGTTTTCGTTTTTGAAACACTTGTTGGTTTCTTTTTTCGAATATACTTTTTCTTTTTTGAAAAAGTTTTGTTCTTTTTCCAAAGTTTTCATTTATATTTTATGCATTTTTTAGAAAATCCTTTTCGCTTGGCAAATGTATTACAACCAATTTTTCAATTTTCTTTCAAAATATTATCACAACATTTTTGACCATATTGTGAGTTGAAAATTTGATTTTTATTTGTTTTTTCGCCTTTGCTTCTAGACATCGATCTGCTATCAGTCTTAGAACATAATTAAAGCGAAAATCAAGATTATCATATTCTTCTTTCTCCATTTTTTTGAGAAAGTCGGGATATGTTTTAATACGCAACTCATCTCATGGATTAGGGAGTTAATCGAAAAATTAATCTAATCAAGGTTGATTTGCTGATAGATCAATAAGATAATAATATTTTTTAAAAGTTTGAACATAGTCTTCAAAAAGACAAATGTTATATAATTCTAATTTAATTAAAATATAATTTGCATCTGCTTGCAAATTAGTATCTCTTGCAAAACCACATAAATTTTTTTTTATGATTTTTGCAAACTCAGGTAATATTGTATCAAGTGTGAGAAAATTTGCCAACAAAGCTGTTTTTTGACTTTTTCCAATTTCAGATTTTTCTCACTATTTTAACCATTGCAACACATCTCCCTGGAGAGTTACTGCAATATAATGAAGGGATTTTTTCTTTGACCAACTATTTTTAAAATTGATAATAATGATAGACAATGATTTTGCCCAATCATCAATCGCCTATGGCTGGTCCTTAAATGGAACATGAGACAAGTCTAAATAAATACCATTTTGAACTATTGGATACTTATTATTATTATCTTTTCTAGATGTTATTGGCTCAGGTGTAGGATTGGAGGTACTTCCAGTGTTAGTATCATTTTTAACTTTATTTGTTTGAATAAAGTCAAAATTTTCTTCATCTCCCCACATGTGCCAAACAATTCGGGATCAATCGACTCTTCTGCCTTTCTTTTTCCCTTATTTATTTCTGGTGAAACATCTTGATCTATTGTTTCTTCAGATGAGGATAATTGACTATCATCATCATTAGTTGACATATTAATATCATAATTAAAGTGTTGTAAAAGGGCTTCATATTCTAGATAAGTTTCTCTTATCTGATCTAATAGCCTATTTCTTTCATCAATACTTAAATTTGGGTCTATATAATTTTCTCTAATAATCTAATATTTCAACAATATTTTTCATATTCAGTCCTATTATAGGTATTGGTTTAAAGTACCAAAATATCTTCTATACCATAAACAATGTATATAATTGTAGTTTGTCAGAAGATGACAAATAATTGTAGTTTTTCATTTGTGCTTCAAAAGACTTTTTTTGTCTTTGTATTTATTTTTGTGGAAACTTGGCGTAAGTTTATGCCTAGACTGGTAGACTTTTGTACAAAGTTGCAAAGTTTTTGGACATATTGGTGTTGTAAATTTCAACAAATTAGATACGCCATAACTCTAGATAGACTTTGTGGATTAGAATAGCTTTTTAATTTTTGTTTGTATCTATAAGATGTATTCTATAAATTGACATTTAAGCCAACAAATGAAGCAATATAAATTCTCACAATCTCTTTGTTGCCTACTTCTTTGCCCAACTTCTCTCAACTCCATAACTCAATAAAATAGTAAAATAAAAATAGTAGAAAACTCATTTCCTATTGTAATTGGTATTAAAGCTTGGTGAAGAGCTTTTGAAAGCAAGATCAAGCTGTGTAAGTATTCTATCTATGTATTAATTTTGACATATATATAAGTGTGTATGGTGTGCTTAATGATATGATATAAAATAAAATAAAAAATCAAATTAGTCAAGTTTAGTCTTTAATTGTGTATCCTTTGTATTTTATATCTTCATAATTATTTGTTTCATTAATAGTTGCTGTAAAACCTATATGCTTAGTGTATGTCAAAGCCCATATACTCATTAAGATTTTTTGACTATTAGCCATAATTAGGCATTTTTAAGTCTTTAAGATCATAAAGAGAGATTTTAGGCACCATATAAATACACTAGGAGAGTATTAGGTACCAACACCAATCTATAATGACAATTAACTCTGAAGATATAATATGCTTTGGAAATACAAAAGATAATGTTAATAATAAATATGACCATAATTTGCATATTACTAAAGAGTCTGCAAATATAAATAGTGTGTTTTCTAGTTTAAATAATATTACTGATATTATGTGTTCTTGATTTTCTAAATTAGATAAAAATCAAAATATAAATCAAAACTATCTAGAATCCAAAGTTGAGTCTATAGAATTTAAAATAGACAATTTAGGTTCTTCTATAATGGCCCCGTTTGGTAGAGTTGTGGGAAAGTGATTATAGATTATAGCTTAACAGATTATAACTTACAGCTGTAAGCATAAGCTGGTAACCTGTTTGGTGTAACTATGGGATTATAGATTTAAGTAGCAGAATAGTGTTTGGCAAATAAACTGTAAAATAGCTTTTTCTGTATAATTGACTTTTTTGCCCTTATATGATAAAAATGATAATTGTCAATTTTTTTTCAATTTTAATTTAAAAAAATTATTTCATTAATAAAAGTTAATATAATTAGTATTAATTAGTATCAACTAATATAAAAATTGATACACTTGATAAATATGTAATGGAATTATTATTGTAATAAATTTTTTCCATTCTAAATTAATTAGTATCAATTAATTGCTTAATCAGTATCAATTAATACTAAAATTATTAATTAGTATCAATTAATGGCTTAATTAATCTAAATTAATACTAAAATTATTAATTAGTATCAATTAATATTAACAATTAATTTTTATTAGTATCAAATAATATTAACAATCAACAATTGTTATTAATTAGTATCAATTCATAATTAATTCATTACAAAAATATACAATATTAATTTTTTTTTGACATTTCTGATTCTGTTTTTATTAAAAAAATTTATTACAATTAATAATATAACAATTGTTATTTTTTTAATTTATTATCTTTTTCATTACAATTAAATTGTGTAATTTATTTAATGGATATAAATTGCACAATTTATTTCAATATTAATAAATTATTTTTATTATTATTTTGCTATATTTATTTATTTATTTCAATTTATTTTGTTCAATATTATTTTTATTATTTTGTTTTTAATTATTATTTTTGTTTAATTTATTTAATTTTTTTTTTCCCTTCTCCTCCTTCCTGAGCCATCTGTACGCCACCGGTGGTCTACAGCCGAAGCCAATTCTTCAACGCAATTGTTCAGAAACTCCGGCGGCCCCCAAATCTCCAAAATTTACCAGAAATTCGAAACGAACGAGATGTTAGTTTTCCTGACCTAAACAAAAAGCAGAAACCCTTGTTCCAAGTCCCAAGAAAAAGAAGAAGAAGAAGAATCTCCGTTTTCGCCGAAGTAAATCTCTTTCAATTTCAAGGGTTTTGGGACTTGGAACAAGGGTTTGGAGGCGTAATCAGAGACGTGGTGGTTGTGTTCTTCATCATCTGAAGAGTCGTGAAGATGGTTCTCTGCTGCTGATTCTTCTTCTTCTTCTTCTTCTTCGGCAGAGGAATAGCTTTGGATGAGTGCTAAGCTCATTGTGTTCCTAGACGATAAAGAGAGAGAGAGAGAGCACAACGCTGGAAATCGCCTCCACACGCCAGAAATCGCCAATCACTCTTTGAGAGGAGTGAACAGTGTTTTCATTGTTGTTTATATAGTGGCATTTTTGTAAATACTGGAGATTAGGAGGGACATTTAAGTCATTTCACCCCCCACACAGCAACTACACGCTTTAGCTAAAATAATAATCATCCCCTGACCAACTTTTCAAATAAGTTGAAAATTAACTTCATTTAAGCTATAAGTTGGTCAAATAAGCTAAACCAAATATAAGTTTTTAGTTTAAATTAAGTTAAAAGCTGAAACAAGCTGCTTATAAGTTCTACCAAACGCCCCCAATAACTGTTGACTTAAACAAAGAAGCAAAAACCCAAATAAACAATTTGGTAACTCAATTAGAAACTATATCCTTCATAAACAATGATGGAATGCATAATCCAGTAGATAACTCCATTCCTAGGCTATTTTATGGTACAAAAGATATTCTGGTACTTCAGCAGACCTGGCTAGTGAAAGGCAAATGAAATTGCCTGTTTCTGTATCTAAACTGAGATGTGCAATTCTTCATTAATCTTTTTCATGTTAACAAAATAACCCAAAATTTTCTACCTGAGTTATGTGATCGTGCTTGGTCATTTGAAGTTGAAGATGACGATGGCATTGACCTTGCTGATTGAGAGGAATTGCTAGAAGGCATTGCCTCAACAACAAGATCAGGATCCTGCTCATAAAAAAAAAAAATCCCAATTACCAACGAAAATCAAACACTAAGATTCTAAATTCCAAGCCCAAAATCCCAGTTACATGACGTATACTTCTAACCCTGAGAAAATTCAACCAAAAAAAACATAGACAGATAAATATCTGGTACATATATCAACTATGAATAATCCGTAAACTAAATATAGGAAACCAAAGGATAACTAAATAATCAGTAGAAGAAACGATTCCCAAAATTTCAAAAAAGATGTTCACAATCTTGACCAATGCAGACTAGAAACTGAAAGACCAGCCATACATCCACCACTATAAAACACTTGAAGACCAGTTGAAATTTACTAGATGCAACTCAAACTCAAAGAGAGTGATAAAAATAAGTATGACTAACATAAGCAGAAATATACATTTATAGACACATATTTGTGTATAAACATGCACTTTAAAAGAATCCCACAACCAAACCATTAAAACCCAACATAGACACAGGATCGAACAAGATCCTTTAAAGCATCTCCAATCCTTAACTGCTCAAAAACTATCTCCAATTCTTCGTCAAATTTGATGAAAAGGGAAATTTGGGATAAGAGTGGAATTATTAAAAAGATTGTGATAAGAATTTGATAAAAGGGTAGTCTATCATATCAAATCAAGTTTTTTACTCAAATTTGAAATCAAATTAGATGAAGAAAAAAAAGTAGTGAAGGGTTGGAGATGTTCTTAGGTCTCAATTCTAAGTCCAACAAAACTGTACAAGCAAGAAGAATGCAAAAAAAATAACGCTAATATAATCCCAAGAATCAAATGCAGAAACACAATATGAGTTTCGATACCAATAGAATCACAGTCAATAAAGATGAACTCAATAAGTTTTAAACCCCCCACCCCCCCTCAAAAAAAAAAAAAAAATCACAAAACCCTAGTTGTACAGAACCAAGAAAACCCAAAATACCAGTTCTGACGCGAAGAAGAATAAAAGAATCAACAGAACAAGACCAATAATGAAAACTTATGAAAGCAAACAAACAAAACCCAATTGAATTAAGTGATTGAAACCCACAAAGCAACTAGGAAATCAACTTGGGTAGCATTGAATTTCAAGAAAATCAAGAAAGAATGAATAAAGACATACGATGTAACGCTGGTAGAACTTGTGCTTGAAGTGGTCAACGACGTCGGAGCGAGAAGCCATGTGAGGAGGGATGAGGATGTTGGACCAGTACCCAGCCCATCTTGGGTCGTTGTCGTAGTCGTACGCAGAAGCACCTATTCTCTTCAGCCTCTGTGGATCTTCTTCTTCCCCCATTATTTCTCTCTGCTCTTCTCAATTCTCTATCCACACAACACAACACAAGACAACACTCGAATATCAAGGAGTATCTCTCTCTATCTATGCGCGATCGATTAAAGAAAGGGGGATTATTCAGTAGTTTCGAGTACGGTTATGTACGGTACGTGGTATGGATGGGGGAGAAAGTGAGATTTGTTATGATTTTTGGGGTTGCGAGAAATGATAATTGATGAGAATTATGGACGGAGTTGGGGCGTGCTGTGCCCTCAGCAAAGGGTTTATTTTAAGATTTTTTTTTGATAATTTGAATTGTTTATATTTTAAAATATATTGAGTAAAATATATTTATAAAAATTTAAGTTAATCAGATATCGTTAATTTTTTTATCTATTCATATATGTATTTTAAAAAATAAATGATATTATGATTTAAAGTATTAAAATAAATAAATGATTGAAAGGATTAACGATATCCGATTAACTTAATTTTTATAAGTATATTTTATTTAATGTGTTTTAAAATATAAATAATTTAAATTATCAAAATAAATCTCAAAATAAGTCTATAAAATCGCACAATAGTACTTACTGTTTGTGCTGGGCGGAAAGCAGACGCTCCAAGTCTATTATGGACGGATAGTCGTCGTTTCGTGGACTACTTGCAGGACCTTGTATTATTGGTCGTCTCATTTCTTTGCAGTTTGGACTTTCTTTTGGGTGAATAACAGCAGTTTGGACATTGCAAAAGGGAAAGATTCTTACTTCTTTTTTTTTTTCTCCAATAAAATTTGATGAAAATTTGAAGAATATAAAATAATTAGAAAAAATGTAAATTATGTTTTTAAAAATATATTTAAATTAGTGATAAATTTTATTAATTTTAATAATTAAGATTATAAAGTTTTTTTACAAATTTATAAATATTTTGTGAAATTAAATGACATTGTAATTTAAAGTATTAAAACAAATAAGTGATTGAAAGAGTTAACGATATTTGATTAATTTAATTTTTTATAAGTATATTTTACTTAATGTATTTTAAAATATAAATGATTCGAATTATCAAAATAAATCTCAAAATAAGCCTATAAAATGGCACAATAATACTTACTGTTTGTGCTGGGTGGATAGCAGATACTCCAAGTCTATTATGGACGGATAGTCGTCGTTTCGTGGACTACTTGCAGGACCTTGTATTATTGGTCGGCTCATTTCTTTGCAGTTTGGACTTTCTTTTTGGGTGAATAACAGCAGTTTGGACATTGCCATTAAAAGGGAAAGATTCTTACTTTTTTTTTTTCTCTCCAATAAAATTTGATGAAAATTTGAAGAATATAAAATTATTAGAAAAATTGTAAATTATGTTTTCAAAAATAATTTTAAATTAGTGATAAATTTTATTAATTTTAATAATTAAGATTATAAAGTTTTTTACAAATTCATAAATATTTTGTGAAATTATCATTGATTTGAATTTTTTTTTAAAAATTAATAGCCTAATATTGTAATAATCTTGAGTTTTTACTATTTTTTTATTAAATTTAAGGAGAAATTTGATTAAAAATTTAAATTGATATTAAAAACACTCCAATCCTCCTTCTTTTCATTACTTTTTTTTTAAAAAAAAAAATTATAAATTTATCCGAAAACTTGTTTTACCCACATTTTATGAAAAAAATCATGTCTAATTCTTACTTTTTTTTAAATAAAAAAAAAAGACGCTCTCTCTCTAGGATTTTCTCCACGAATGGGGGTCTTCTGGCTCAGTAAGGGCCCTAGGTTTCTTGTGAGTTGTGGTTGGGGTGGGGGTGAATGGTTCTGGTGGCTTCCAGCCTCTTCTCTCCTTCTTCTGTCTCCTCTTTTTTCTTCTGTTTTTCCTTACTTTTTGTTCAAATAAATTTGGAAGTTTTGCCTTTCTAACTCTCTCTCTCATTGTGAGGTGTTCTCTACCTGTTGCCGTGGTCTTCACCAAATCCGTCTTTTCTCTTCTTCTCCACCTCACTCTGGCACTGCCACTACCACACCACCTCCTAATCGGTCACTACCCACCAGATTTTCCATATTCCCAATTGAGAGGGGAGATTTGGACCAGACTGTACGGCCGAGCTACGGTAACACAGGTTCGTCAAAATCTCACGGTGCTGAGCTGTGTTCTCAGTTGGCGTGGTCCCCGACCTGTCGTGTACATCCGAAGGAAGTGGTCGACTGGGCATGGATTAAGGCCCGACCGAGCTATGACTGGGAAGGCATTCGGCTGGACGCGCAGTGATTTGAGGTGACCGAGCTAAAGCAGCCCGGGATAGACTAAGGGCGAGGCGAGGGTCGGCATGCCTCCAACCTGTCAACCGAGATGGCCCAGCTTCGTATAACCATGAATGAAGGTAGAACGGGGAGAGGCCGGCATGCCTCGTGGCCGGTCAACTAGGACTAACCGGTCCTGCACAGCTCAGCCATGAGCATCACACTCTCGCCCCTTGCTAAGGGACAGGTTGGCCATACATGGCTTGGTTGTGTTATCTGTGGTGGCAATTCTCCACAGATAATAGGTCGGTCGCGGTACTCCGATTGAGTGTGCCACCTGGGCCAATGGCGTGCGGGAGAGGAAATCTACTCCAAGCACGCGTCAATACCGTTTGGCAGTTCTGCATGTACTAGTTGGAGGATTAGGCCTTTACACGCGTAAGGTGGTGAGAGGCGAGCATTGCCACCTGTCCAGGAGAGGACAACAGAGGTAGTGCGCGCACGATTTTGAGGCTGCATGGCCAGCCTAGAAATAGGAGTGGAAGGTGAACGTTGGAGGTAAGAAACTTGCGCTATCTGAAATACTCTTTCTCTCTCTCTCTCTGATAGCCTTCTTCTTTCTCTGGTGGTCTGACTTGATCATCAGAGGGTCTATTCGGCACACCAGCGCCGGGCAGCTTACCATTTCTATGTTGCAGAGATAGACGTCGTCACGAGAAGCTTGACGTCCAAGGAGTACGGAAAGCGAAGGATATTTCAGCCATGGCGGGCCTAGAAACCTCTTCGCGAGGTGCGCAAGACAAACGCGGAAGGAGTACTGATCGCTCGAAGAGTCCAGAGGGCCGTCGGCGGCGGGGGAGTCCCGTGCGCAGCACCTGGAGCACAAACTGAAAGACCAAGACGCCCTCATTCGCAGGATGGCGGCGGAGATGGAGATGCTAAAACGCCAGATTAAGGGGAAGGGTGTTGCTGGAGAGGGCAACCTCAGTGAGCACACCCCATCCTCTCGTTCTAGTAGTCGCTGCCAGAAGAGGACCCACTCTCTCTCCATCACCCGGAACTATGGGGTTAGAGATTCCGACCGAAGGGAGGGCAGATCTCTCACTCGAGACAGCACATACCGTCCCTCACGCCATTCTCTGACGTCACGATACTCTTTCTCCACCCGTTCTAGAGACCTGAGGGATGTATTGGAAGAGAGGGCGCGCCGTCGAGAGGCTCAAAGAGTGCCGGCATTACAGAGGTTAAGCGCTCCAGTTCGTTGTAGTGAGGAAGTGGCGATGCCAGCCCCCAAAGCGATAGCCCCTGCGCTGGTGGACAAAGAGCTGGCGCGACTTACAGCCACGCCGCTGTCTCCAGAGATTGAGAGTACACCACTCCTCGCCGGATTTCACCAGCCAAAGTTCACTTTGTACGACGGCAAGACGGATCCGTACATGCATGTGAGCCATTACCGGCAAGTAATGGCTGGCCACCGGTGCAACGACGCCTTGATGTGCCTCATATTCCCAGCAAGCTTGGGAGAGTTGGGTTTGAAGTGATTCGAAAGGCTTCCGAATGGGAGTATTGAAGGGTGGCAGCAACTAGCGGAAGCCTTCGTCACCAGATTCAAAACCAACACACGAACGCCGAAGGAGGTCGACCACCTCCTAGGCGTCAAGTTGGAGTCTGGATGTTCGTTGAAGGCATATGAGAGGGAGATTAATGATATGGACTTTGTGCCAGACAGATTTGGGCCGAGCAGAGTTGTGCCGGACAGATTTGGGCCGGACAGAGTTGTGCCGGACAGATTTGGGCCGGGCAGAGTTTTGACTGAGTGTGTGCCACCCCGGACCGAACAGATATCACATTGACAGGAAGTGACCGGTCGGACCAGGATGCTCGGTCCGAGGATGGTCGAAGCCAGACAGACCGAGTGACCGGCGCCCGGAAAGGCGTGGTCAGCCGAGGTAGTTGATTGACCGGCAGGAAGGCCGACCAAAGGAGGTACCCGGGCTAGGCTTTGCCGGGATGCCGCCTAGCCCGGTCCTCCATGTGTTTGTCCGGTTAGGCGCATGGGTATGAAGCATGGCATGGCCGTGGTAGAGCAGCTCGGCTGCCGAGCTCCAGCTGTGAAGTCAGGCAGTTGAGATTAGGTGATGTTCAGCAAGGTCTATGCTGACAGATGGGATAGCAGAGCCACGTGTCAGGAGATGACTGGGAGTGGGTAAGGGGCTCAGAAGGTATATAGGCATGTCTGCGCCCCCCATACGCGCATGCCATTCAAACCCACCTGCTCTCAACTGCTGTCAGGCACAGCTGGAAGCTCGGGCAGGCCGAGCTGCTCTAACCACGGCCATGGCCCTGCTTTATACCGCATGCGGCTAACCGGACAAGCACATGGAGGACCGGGCTAGGCGGCATCCCGGCAAGCCATAGGCCGGGTACCTCCTTTGGTGCGGCCTTGTCCTAGCCGGTCAATCAACTACCTCGGCTGACCACGCCTTTCCGGGCGCCGGTCACGCCGGTCTGTCTGGCTCGACCATCCTCGTTTGACCGAGCTCGCCTGGCCGACGCGATCAACTTCGCTGGGCCGAGCAGTCGTTTGTTCAGTCCGGGGTGGCACACACTCAGTCAAACTCTGGCGTCGGCCGCAAATTTGTCCGCATAACTCTGTCCGGCCCAATCTGTCGCGGGCAGCAACTCTGGGGCCCGGCCGCAAATCTGTATGGCACCAAAGTTCCATATCATAATCTCGGACCTGCTCAATTGCCCTTAATTCGTATCCGGCTGAATCCCCGTGAGCTGGGATTACCTTGCCTAATGTGTTAATAGCTTGCCTCGGTCCTCAATATGCAAGATAGTGACGGCGTAGCTAAAGAAAGCGAGGCAAGGTCCGCTCCAGCGTACTTCGCTTCTTGGCGAGCAAGCATCACGCCTGCAGTCAAGGAAGCTTCCAAATGGTCAGGCGAGGCAAGGTCGCGGCTCCGGCGACTTGCTTCTTTGGGCGAGGCAACAACAGGCTC